GTACCACTGTATCTTCAGATGTTAACCAGTCTATGGCCTTTTAAAGTATGGTGGGGGTGTCGTCTTTAAAAAAACAAAAACCAACAACTTCTGTTATACAGTATTATGTATTTTGTACTTTGTGTTGTAAACAGCCTTGTGGTCTCTTGATGTCTCATTTCAAAGGGCAAGACCCACATTCAATAAGCGTGAAGTTCATTGAATGTTCCCTTTAAATTCTGTAAGTCCTAATGGATTCAATGTCAAGTTTGAGTTAATTTCATACCTGTAACATCTGCTGGTAATTAATCACCTTCGAAGGCATTATCATAGCCGTTATAAATTAGGTTTTCAGAAAGTTGTGTTTATTCCATCTTTTTTTTTCTGGGAGAAGTTTATGTGCAGAAGTTGAGTGAAATATTGGATGGTTCATATTGGGAAAGTGCAACAGACAGATAGATAGATAAATAGATAGATAGATAGATAGAGTGAGTGTTGGATGTATAATAATAAGTTGTACTTAGAGTTAAATAATTTGTCAAGGTAAAAGCAGCTGCATGGGGGAGACGAGCTTTATTTGCCAGAAAAGCACAAGAACTGGAATGCGTCTTCCAGAGTTTAAGGTTATCACTCTCTTCAAGGACTACTGAGGAAACAGACTAAATTGAAGAAGACTGAGCAATCAAAATGAATTTTTTTTCTACTGGTGTGTCATCTTCTGATTTGTATTATTAATTTTTTATTTCTGTAGTTTATGGGTTATACATATTTATTGAGCATAATACCATGCCATTTTTATATTTGCTAATTGCTCTTACATTGGCTTCTAGGGACCCCAATTGTTATTGTTCTTTATCCCAACACAACCAGCGACTTTTCAGTCGGCACTTATTTGGGCATGTCCACTAGACACTAAAATTGGGCTCTGTGGTTTGTCATCTTTAATAAGATATAAGCTTTTGAATTCTAAACTTTCGATCCTGGCAAGACTCTTCTTTCAAAGTCATGAATGTTGTGGAAAAGCATAGCTGAGCTGCTGAGTGTTTGAAACTTTCAAGCCAGGTCTTCCAGAAATGCTGTGCTGAATATTTCTCTCTCTCTCTCTCTCTCTCTCTCTCTCTCACACACACACACACACACACTGTAAATTTATGAGAAATTACATTCACAAATGGTGAAAGAGGAAAGAACATTTCAGGGAAATTCTCATGGACAAGGTTCAGGGTTTCTGTTCTGCTCACCTTACTCTCAAGGTGGCCAAAGGGTCTTTGTGGGTGCCCTTTCTTTTATTCTGCAAATTGACTCTCCAGTGGTCTGCACTGTGCAGCCTCCCTAGATGCTGATGTTTCCTTAAAAAAACCTCAGTGACACCCTTAGCTTGGCTTTCTGTAAGAACAGGAAGGTTGGGAGGCTCCTCTTTAAATAAATCAGTGAGAGAGGGGTTTTTTGTTTTTGTTTTTTGAAAGATAAAAGGTAGGACTCATTAAAAACAAAATCAGTGACTGCACAGTAGGGGCTCAATAAGGGACCTCCTTGGATTCTCATGCTTCAGTTAAAGCTCATGGGATGATGTCAGTAGTTAACTTCTTCCATGGGGCTTTTTCAGGTCAGGAAGTTGAGGCAGCTAAGGAGGCTGCAGAGACGCTTAATTGAAAGAAATATGTACATGAGCTACAGCCACCTCACAATGATAAGGTAAACTCACCCCACCCCAAATGATATGAATTTTTAAAGTGCTCTGGGTATGGATAATTTTAATGAAAATGGGAGCCGAAATTGCCAATCTTTTCTTATTCATCCCATGTCCAGAAAGCAAATGAATCCAGAAATCAATATTTGTTACTGTTGTTGCTTTCAGTTTGCAAATGATATGTAATGATTATGTGTCTCCCCCCTCAATTTATGTTGTATTTCCTTTGCATTGAAATGAATGGGATGGAATAACATAATGACAGTGATTAATTAAATAAGTTACATGATTTCACCATGGTGGACAGCAAAATGAATAGCATAGTTTGTGGCAGAAGATGACCTGCAGTCGAACAGAAACAGGGCCATATGCACCAAATACAGGGAGGAATAGGAAACTGTGCTTTTGTACATCCCTAGCCCCAAGCAAGGGAAGGAAATAATGGAACCCTCTTTCGCTGCAGAAGAAAACTTTTGAGAAATTAGAGGACAAATTCTGGCACATCACCATGTTCAACTAGCGTAAGCTAGCGTCTCACACTGGTACTTAAATTCTTATCTGTTCCCTTGTTCCACCATAGAATCTTGCTCGGGTTTAGCAAATTAAACAGCTCTGGTGCTCACACTATGTTAAGAACTACAGTGCCCTCTTGTGGGCAGAAACGTGTGAAGGAATGATTCTTAAGCGAACAAAAGCCCATTTCCAAATTACCGTTTTTAAAACAATGGGAGTGCTCAAGGTCACTACTGCACCTGACAATGCATTGGTAGAGGCTGGTTTCAGAAATCTCAGGGCATGAAGGTAAAAGAGGTGGCCACCTTGCTGTGTCTCTTCAGTGACTGGGAACCGTGTGTGTGTGTGTCATCTTGGGCTCCATCACAGAAGAAAGGCAGGACAGAAATTCAAGAAAATAAATAAATAAAATCTACCACTAAGCGCTTGCAAAGAATCCAGGATTGGGCCTGACTCCTTTTGAGGCAATGTAATGAACAAACCCTTCCAATGCTACACAATCACAGCAGCAACCTCTTGGGCACCCATAATTTTGGAGTGTAGCCGCACTTTCTAAGGGAACGACCACAACTCAGTGGTAGAGCATCTGCTTTGCACAGATAAGTTATTTTTATTTCACAAGATTTATGTACCATTTGGGTTTTAATGAAACTTCCCAGGTAGGGCTGGGAAATCCCTGCCTCAAATTCTGGAGTTCTGCTGCCTGTCAATGTTGGACAATGCTGAGCTCAATGAACCAATGATCTGACTAAGCGTACGGCAAGTTCCTGTGTTCCTAAGTTCCACTGCACTCAGGCAACCTCTGTATGACATATATTATAGATACGGCTGGCAAAACCATTGCCATTACATACGTTGGCCAAAAGCAAGTTAACTTGGGGTAAGGTAAAGGTAAAGGGAACCCTGACCATTAGGTCCAGTCGTGACCGACTCTGGGGTTGCGGCGCTCATCTCGCTTTACTGGCTGAGGGAGCCGGCGTACAGCTTCCGGGTCATGTGGCCAGCGTGACTAAGCCGCTTTTGGCGAACCAGAGCAGCGCACGGAAACGCCGTTTACCTTCCCGCTGGAGCGGTACCTATTTATCTACTTGCACTTTGACGTGCTTTAGAACTGCTAGGTTGGCAGGAGCTGGGATCGAGCAAAGGGAGCTCACCCCGTCGCTGGGATTCGAACTGCCGACCTTCTGATTGGCAAGTCCTAGGCTCTGCAGTTTAACCCACAGCGCCACCCATGTCCCTAAACTTGGGGTACATAGTAGTTATATACTGACCTACAAAGCTTTTGTCAATCTGCTCCCACTTTGCTGAAAGTCCTCCAAGACCAAATATCCCAATCAGCTACATGTTCACATATGACGGCTTTATGTTATTCCATTCTGATTGCATATATTCTAATAAATATGGGCAGTGACATTAAGGGAGGCCCATGCTCTCAGGGGCACAGCACCTGCATGGCATTTTTTAAAAGATCCTAGCTTCAATTGCTGAGTAAAGCTGGGAAAGATTTGTGCCACACTCTACTTTCTCCACGCGAATCCAGGCATGAAATTCTGGTCATTCCTGGGTAAGAAATTCAGCCGCATGTGTGAACCAGCCCTTCAGTGATATCAGCACAAGAGGACAAATGTACACTTATTGTTCTGGGGTCAGCACTGTTTTGTGCTGGTGCGCTGGCAAATTCTGAAGTGCAGAAGCTCACAGTGACAGCTTCCATTGCCAAGGACAGTTCAAAATGCAGGCAGCAGTGCTGATCTGCTATCTCCCATCATCTCTGACCATTGACTATGTTGGTCCTGGACTGATGGAAGCTAGAATCTGACAGTATCCAGAGGTTGGAGAAAGCAGGCATGTGATTGTTCTTACACACCTGTTACGTAACCTGGGGGTTTTGTCTGCAAATTCTAACAATGCTCATGCAGTATTTGTTAAGTAAACCGTATCATACATGACTTGATTCTTTTAAAGAGCTGAAGATAAATGAACAAACAAAACATGCACCAGTTGATTCTCACTTTCTGGCAACATTAATAAGTTTGTATCTTTCAAAACTGTTTCCTATTGCCACTGACTATCGGTTATCGGCTGTGTAAATAAATATGGATTTTGTCACAGTCATTATGCCGATGAGGCAGAACACACAGCACTTTCCCTCCCACCGAAATCAATGGCAACGTTCCAATTGATTCTATGAGGTCAGGACTGCACACAACAATTCTTGACATACTTGGCAACTTAAAAGTTTTATATTTCTCTGTTACTTGTGAGAACGTATATTCTCTGGTTTTCCACTGCGGGTCACGGCACTCGTACCTTGGAAGTCGAACGGAATCCGTTCCAGAAATCTGTTCGACTTCCAAAATGTTCGAAAACCAAATTGCGGCTTCTGATTGGCTGCAGGAAGCTCCTGCAGCCAATCAGAAGCTGCAGAAGCCCAGTCAGACATTTGGCTTCCAAAAATAGTTTGCAAACCGGAACAGTCACTTCCAGGTGTGCGATGTTCGGGAGCCAAAACATTCGGGAACTAAGTTGTTCGAAAACCAAGGTACGACGGCATTTATTTATTTCTCCCCCCCCCCCCTTTTAAAAAAATTACATTTAAGAAGATAAAAAAAATTCTGCTGAATTAGGCCAGTGGCACATCAAATCCAGCATCCTGTTTCCTTTAAATAATATTTATTGAGATTTAAAAAATTACAAAAAGAAAAAATAGATAACAACATATTAAACAGAAAAACAGAACATCATGTCACAATAACGAAGAGAGAAAAGAAAAAAAAGAAAAAGAAAAAAGAACAGAAATATATACAACAAATTTTCCCATAATTTATCTTTCATTTGCTTGTTTCTTTGACCTCCTCACGCCTCCCTTTTTTGTATTCTAGTTCAATTAGCTATTTCAGCAAGTCCTTTCCATCTTTTCCAGTTTTTATCCTCTATTTTATCTTAATATATTATAGCTTTACTTTCCCTCCTTTCACCATTTAACAATCTATTTTTTCTTAAACCTTTATAGCATTTCTACTAAAATCACATTACTTCATTCCAACATCCTTCTAACATTCTTTAATTTTACAATGTTTCTGTAAATAAACTTTAAATTTCTTCCAATCTTCTTCCACCGACTCTTCTCCCTAGTCTCGGATTCTGCCAGTCATTTCCGCTAGTTCCATGTAGTCCATCACCTTCATCTGCCATTCTTCCCGGGTGGGTAGATCTTGTGTCTTCCAATACTTCATGGTGAATATTCTTGCTGCTGTTGTAGCATACATAAAGAAAGTTCTGTCCTTTTTTGGCACCAATTGGCCAACCATGCCCAGAAGAAAGGCCTCTGGTTTCTTCAGGAAGGTATATTTAAATACCTTTTTCATTTCATTATAAATCATCTCCCAGAATGTCTTAATCTTTGGGCACGTCCACCAAAGGTGAAAAAATGTACCTTCAGTCTCTTTACATTTCCAACATTTATTATTGGGCAAATAATATATTTTTGCAAGCTTGACTGGTGTCATGTACCACCATCAAATCCAGCATCCTGTTGTCACAGAGGTATAGACTTAGAATGTAACTATCACTCGTATAACACCAGATATGCCCACCACAATGAATAATGAGAAGCAATAGTGGACAATGGGGTGGCCGAGAGACACTTACCTAACCTCCCAGCAGATGAGTCACTACTGCATACAAGGGAAGGGTGAGGCAGCAGAGAGGGCAGCATGCTGCAAACGCATAGGCAGGAATGCTGGATTGGCTCTGCTGGTGTGTTTGCACCATACCCACCTTGCCCTCTCAGTAACCAGCGGCGACTCACCTGCCTGGAGGCCAGGTAAATGCATCTGCCCCACGACTTCATCCACTTCTAATGAAAAGGTAGGTGGGTGGTGAATACCCATCATTAAGGAAAACTATGTTTCTCTTATTCCTCACCCTTGTGTGCATTGACGTAATAGAAGAGGAATGAAGAAGAGGGAAGTTCTAGGATCCCGCCACCCACCAAGCTAGAGCAATGACATCATCTGCTGCAGTGCCAGGGTAATTGACAGACCCTCCTGTCTCTAGCAACTGGATGAGGTAATAACAAAGCTTTCAAGTTTTACTGTTTGATTGTGTCAGAATGACCGTGGAAGAATTCGGAAAATGAGGCTGGATATTTTTTCTTGTTGCGTTTCGTGCTGGCAGCTTAAATGGCAACACTTCTTTGAGAATTTTCCTGATTGGAAGCTAATGATTGAATTTCAGCCGGCTGAAGGTCTTTTGCTAAAGCTCGCTGTGTTTTGCAAGCTGAACCTCAGCAGTCAAAAATGAGCATTGCTGAGCTCAATGGGACTTCCTCCAAGGAAACCGTACACAGGATTGCATGATCCTACTAAATTATGAGTATTGTGCTAGATCAAGTAGTTTTCAATCTGTGGTGCATATCCATCCACTGACAGCATTTTAATGCCTAGTTCAGGATGAGTACAAACATCAAAATGTGCCTCTGGGCTAAAAATACATTGTCAGAATTTAGCGTAAGAGCAATTTTTTTTAAAAGCCTGTTGGCAATTAGAATTAGGAGCTTCCATAGAAACAGAACTATAAATCATTTTACTTTCCATTCCCTCTAGATAAAAGATGATTACCACTAATACAAGCTGCAGGAGAAATCAATAGGATGTTTTATATCCCCAGTAGGTCATAAACTTACTATAATTAAGAATGGTATACGGGTTAGCTCTTTGCATCTTCCTGTCCTCCCAGCTGTTCATAGTGTTATGGGTTTGCAGGGGGCAAGGATCCCTTAAAATTCCTGGGTTCTCCCTATAATTCCTGAAATTAGTAAATATGAAGTCAAACAAGCTTCCTCAGGAGCTGGGCTTAGAAAGATGCCACCCAAGAACAGAGGCAAGTGATGGCTGAGCCATCACCATGACACAAGGTGAGACAAGCCATCAGACAAGAAAGGGGGAGGCTGCCAAGATTACAGAAAAATGAGAAATCTTTCACAAGCTACTTTATAAATTATTGGGGATTTTTTTCGTGGGTGTAGAATCAAACCATTTGTAAGAAAACCAGCCCTGAGTGCTCACTGGAAGGACAGATCCTGAAGCTGAGGCTCCAATACTTTGGCCACCTCATGAGAAGAGGTGGAAAAGACCCTGATGTTGGGAAAGATGGAGGGCACAAGGAGAAGGGGACGGCAGAGGACGAGATGGTTGGACGGTGTTCTCGAAGCTACAAACATGAGTCTGACCAAACTGCGGGAGGCAGTGGAAGACAGGAGAGCTAGGCTCTGGTCCATGGGGTCACAAAGAGTCGGACACGACTAAACGACTAAACAACAACAACAGGACTGAGTTTACTTAATCACTGTGTGTGGTGCTTTCCCCCCTCCCCTTCCCATTTTAACATTTCTCCATAGCTCTCTAGTTCCCCAAGATGCCTGAGCTTCCTGATCTGAAGAACTCCTATGGGAAGACTTACTTTTGCTTCATATCTTCTCCTGTCTTTTAATCAAAGTGTGGGAATCCGGGGAGGGTGACTACCTGTTGCCTGAGATCAGTGCACTGGCTGATTTTGTTTTTAAGGGAAGATCTTCCATTTACTCCTTATCTCCTTCTGTCATTATTTCTTCTAAATGGGTTGTTGTTGTTATTATTTTACAATCAATGCCCAACCCAGGCACTTGGTAGGCAGAATCGTGCTTTCAGCATTTACAGGAAAGGTTTGTCAAGGACATAATGCAGTTTTCAGGAAGCATGGGAACCTGGGAAGTCTACAGAGTGCAAACAACTGAGTAATATTTGTAGGATGAATGAGGAGAGACTCACAAGCACCTCTTAGCCACTTCAAAAGTAAGTTGAAGACAGCAAAAACCTTACTTCCCCACCCATGATAATTTCTCTTCGCTTTTATCATTTTCAAATGCAATTTCCTTTCTTGTTATGCGAAGGGGAATGGCAGAGGGGGGAAATGCAGGATTCTTATTTCTGGACACAAAATATTAGAGAGTGCATTTCCAGCTCCCAGCTAAAATTGTGGATATCTGCACGAACCCTTGGGCAGCTCAGGACAGACTTCTGACTGTCATTCCTCTGCATTCTAACCAAAGTTCCATTTCTTTTGTTTTTGTATTCTGCGTGGGTCCGTTATTCAACCTAGTAAATTGCTCACCCTCAGTTGTCACTGAAGCTATGCACTGACCTGATCGGTCTTGAGATCTTTCCACAATAAATTCCCCGCTGCTCTCCCTAGCCAATATATGGGCTGATTGCTCCATTTGGCACACATTTCCTGGGCTGGTCTCTTGCTCCCAGATTAATTATTTCCTCTTTGTCTATACTGAACTCGACTTGCCGTATACAAGCTATCTACATGGGGAAAAAAAGCTTTATGAAAGCTTATTATATTCCTCTCACCCCCACCCCATTATTGTCTCGACATCCATATTTAAGATTGCCTGCAAGTTGTTGCTGTTTTAAATCTGTTTGCAAACCATTAATATCAGGGTGGCTCAACCATGAAACTACTTTGGAGCTGAATCAAATCATAAACACATGTTAACAACTAGCAAGGCTGTCAAGAGGATACCCTGGGCTTGGTGTACTATATATATGGATTGGGCCCTCTGCATCCCTCCACGAAGCAACCACAGTCTGTTTACAAGAACTCCTGCTTATGTACATATTGTTGCATGCCAGCCAAGTCTCTGAGCAGTGAGAGATTCCAGAGTTTGTATTTCCTTCGGAATGAGAGACAGCAGATACCGTGGTGTCTTTGTGATATAGGTTTATTTCTGCATATATACAACCCGAGCCTAAGATGGAAGTGTTCATAGTATTAACCCCCGAAGAAGGCCTTGCTTCTTCCATAGGTCATGCCTACAACCAGAAATATGCCAAGGAGGGAATGTGAACCTCAGGCTGAGCAAGTCACTATTAAATGCAAATCATAGAAACATAGAATTGTAGAGTTGGAAGCAACAGCACTGGGTCATCTAGTCTAATCCCCTGCAAGGCAGGAATCTCAACTAGATCATACATGAGAGGTGGCCATCCAACCTCCAAGGAAGAAGAGTCCACCACCTGTTGTGGGAGCCTGTTCCACTGTCAAACAGGCTCTAATTGTCAGAAAGTCCTTCCTGATGTTTATGTAGCTTTTATATAATGTTATTGATTGATTGATTGATTGATTGACTGACTGACTGACTGACTGATTGATTGTAGTTTTATCCCACCTTTCCTTCAAGGAGCTCAAGGTGGCATACATACTTCTCTTCCTCATCCATTTTATCCTTACAACAACCCTGTGACGTAGGTTAGGCTGAGTGTAAGTGACTGGTCCATGGCACAGCTATCAACGTTTCCCTTTTTTTAAGGGAAATTCCCTTATTCCGAATAGGATTCCTTACAAGAAAAGGGAAAAGTTGACAGCTATGGTCCAAGGTCACTCAAGTGTGCTTCATGGCTGAGTGGAGATCTGAACCATAGTATCTCAGGGCCTAGTCCAACACTCTAGCTGCTACCCCAACACTACCTCTAAGGAACTCACAGTGGTGATTCAGCAGTAAGCTTCTGAAATAGATTACGGTGATAGTGACTTACTCAAAGTCTAGTGAGCTATGCCAGCAATTTATAGCCTATGTCCCTTATTTCAAAAAAGGAAGCAAAACTTGAGAAAACAGATGCCATCATTTTAACGACAAGCCATTCTAGGTAGAAACCCACTTCTCCTTCACATGGCTTCAATTTCATTAACTCGGAGTTAATCTCGATTTTAAACTCTTATCCGGGTTCTGCAAGACTGCAGTGAAGAGCTACCGTGAGCAGATGCAGTAGAGTATTTGATGCACCAGCCATATAAGATATTGATTGATATAAAGCAGCAGCTAATGGACCCAAACCAAAATCAAAGGCCAGAGGAAGTGCAGAGAATATTCATGAAATAGGTCCTACACAGGAACTCCGATACTTGGAAGAGCAGCATTGACACCTGGTGTTAGATCAGCAGTATTGCTTCGAAAATTAAAGGGCTTTTAAAAAGGACACTGGCTAGTTCCAAGCCAGGGATGGTGTGAGACAGTTCGGCACCTGACACAAAGCACAAAATGGCACCCCCTCTCAACCAGGGAAAAAGGGGTAAGTGAAGATCTACATCAGGAACACAGGGGGAATAAAGATCTACACTGGGATCTGTTGCCCCTGTGGATCCTGCCACCCGAGGCAGTCCCCTCATTTTGCCTCACGGGAGGGTATTGTAGGGTTGGCCCTGTTCCAAGCACTAAGTGGAAAACACTGTTGCTACTCTCACATATCTCAAGCAGCCCTCATTCTTAAGCTATATTGTCAGAAAAGGCCAACCAGAATGACCGGAACAACTACCCTACGGGAAAAAGTTACAGCCTGTGGGGCTTTTTAGATTGTGGCGGTGGAGTGGGGCAAGTAAGGGGACACTGTATCGAATTATGCATTCTTAATCCATAATTACCTGGTTGCTAGTTGTGAGTCATTCCAAGAGAAGACTGGCAAGATGCCCCAAAGAAGGAATATTTATACTAAATTTTCCTTTGAAGAATATAAATCTACAATCCATTCCTAAACTTAATTGCTAACTACCACAATTACAAGTGGAAAACAAACTTACAGTAAATTATAGCAGGATGGTTTTTCTCTGGATGCATAAAAGAAAAATAATAAATTCCACTATTAGAATAACATTCGTTCAATCTTTTGGACATGGAAACATGTCTGGTGTGCAACTGGGCATGCTAAAAGTTGTCAGTTAAAGATTCTGATGCAGATTGCTGTCTCCGTGAAAACAAACCTTCCTGCCTAATTGGGAGCAATTAGCATTTTTAAAACACATGTAGTTTATGGATTTGTTGTAAGTGTGGCTTATTGCTTGCAACAGATGTAGTCCATTCAAGGTTTTATGGCTTTACAATAAGCTTAAAAGTTTTATGGTTTATCAAGGGAGGCAAAGTCATGCTCTTTTAAGATAGGAGGTGAGGGAACCAGAAGATCAGTGTGTGAATCTGCCCTGTGTTGCCTCCCCTGATGAGGGAATCTCATAGAAAACGTGATGCCTTCATTCCCCATGCAATAGGCTCAGCTGGGCTACATTAGGTTGAGGGAAATTATTAATATGAGTATCAAATATGGGGTCTGATCCATTACCACAACATAGGCAGGTTGCACAGAAGTGCAAGTATTTGCCACAAGCTGATTAATTCTTGCTTTTTTGCAGGGATCAGGTATACCTCTACCTGCCCCACACCTGATGCCACATATGCCATCAGGTGTGGGGCAGGTTGGGGTAATAGTCTTGTGGGCCAAATGAGGAGGCCTGGTCGGCCAGAGGTTCCCTACCCCTGTCCTATTCGATGCCAGATTTCTTTTTTAAGGGAAAGAATGGATTGTGCTGGTAGAACTTTCCATCATCTTCATTTATGTGTGTGTAGTCTACTACAGTTTGTGAATTTTCATAATACCTATCTATGATTCCCCTCAGGGCAGCTGAGAAAAGAAACAGCAGTATCTATATCTTGAGAGTTATCAATAAATGGGAAAATATGGTCCACTGAAATTACAGTGGCCACACTTGAACAATCGATGACTGAAGAGAAATTCCAGTGTGGAACTGCTGAATTATACAGTGGTACCTCGGGTTAAGTACTTAATTAGTTCCGGAGGTCCGTTCTTAACCTGTTCTTAACCTGAAGCACCACTTTAGCTAATGGGGCTCCTGCTGCCGCCACGCCACCAGAGCACAATTTCTGTTCTCATCCTGAAGCAAAGTTCTTAACCTGAGGCACTATTTCTGGGTTAGCAGAGTGTGTAACCTGAAGCGTATGTAACCTGAAGCGTATGTAACCCGAGGTACCACTGTACTTCTCAAGAAGTTCAGTTTTTTCACCTGTGACCTGAACTGAGATAAAAGAACAGACCTCCCCCCAAGCTCTGCAGGTATTAATTAGGTTGCCAACACCAGGATGTTTGTGTTGTCTTCAATGCTGCTTTGTGAATGGTCTCTCTATTGATTTGATTTTTCGTATAATCATCAGAGTCTGTATTATTATTATGCATTTCATTTTCCTCCAACGTCAGTGCTAAGAATCCTCTGCTGTCAGAAGTATACTGCTCTACCTTGGATAACATGTCATGTATCTGATGAAGTGGGCTCCAGTTCATAACACCTTATACCATTCTAAATTTGCTAGTCTTTTAAAAGGGCCACAAACTGCGTTTTTGTTGCTGCAGACGAAAATGGTCACCCCACTGGAAATTGTTTCCTATTCCTCTTTCTTTCCATCAAGCCCAGTTTTCTACCGCTGGCACTTTCCCACTACTATTTTACAAACACACACACGTGATACACTTTCAAGTACTTCGGTGCTCAAATAGCGATCAAGCAGAAAAAGGGATCTTACATAAGCTCAAGAAAGGCCTCATTCTTAGGGCTGAACTGGATTAGATGCTGAGAAATGCACAATGAGACTCCTGATGGCTCACTTACAGCAATTTAGACTATCATGCGACCCACCCCTGAGGCAAGGAGCTAAGTAACTAGTCATACCTCAGGTTATGAACGCTGCGGGTTGTGTGTTTTCGAGTAGTGGACCGTGCCGAACCCGGAAGTACCGGAACAGGTTACTTCTGGGTTTCGGCGCTCACGCATGCACAGAAACACAAAATGACATCACACGCATGCACAGAAGTGCCGAATCGCGTCACGCGCATGTGCAACGCTTCAAGCTGCGAACGCTGCGGGTTGCGAATGTGCTTCCTGCATGGATCACGTTCGCAACCTGAGGTATGACTGCATGCAACTTTTAGAAGACATCTGAAGGCAGCCCTGTATAGGGAAGCTTTTTAATTTTTAATGTTTTATTATGTTTTCATATAGGTTGGAAGCAGCCCAAAGTGGTCAGGGGAACCCAGTCAGATGGATGGGGTATAAATAATAAAAATTGCTGTTGATGATGATAAATAGGGTGTCCCTATTTTCATCTAAGAAATGTTGGAGGGTATGCATTATGTACCACCCACCTGTCAAAAAGTGCTTTGCTCAGCACTTCCTGAGGGGAATTGGCCCCAAAGCTAATCCACCGGCATTGAACTTGTGCACCCAATTGCTTTTTCTTTCTTTACATTATTGGATTGTAATTGGTATAGTTACAGGTAGGTAGCCATGTTGGTCTGCCGTAGTCGAAACAAAATAATAATTAAAAAATCCTTCCAGTAGCGCCTTAGAGACCAACTAAGTTTGTTATTGGTACGAGCTTTCGTGTGCATGCACTGAACGAGCTTTTTTCGTGCATGCACACGACTCATACAAATAACAAACTTAGTTGGTCTCTAAGGTGCTACTGGAATGAATTTTTTAAAATTTTGTTTCGTAACTGGTATGTTATGGGTTGTTTTGACTTAATATGCTCTTCATCCTCCTTTTCTAAATTCTATTCTGCAATATTTTTAAACCTCCAAAACTAAAAAACAGGAATCCAACCCGCGTGCACGACAACTCTTCCCATTTTTACCTGGACACTCGCGCACAGAGCATTCATACAGGAAGCGAGAGCCGGGCGGGACTCTCCCACTTTGAAACGAACCCTTCTTTGTACCCACCCTATGAATGAGCATCTCGCCCTTCCTCCGGCTCCGCCCGCCCGCCATGGATTGGCCCGCCTACATGCCTGTCGCGCAGCTCAGTCGAATCACAGCCAGCCCTGTTGTTGATTGGCGTGCGGCCGAGCGTGTTTGTGTGCATCCCTTCCCTTCCCCGCCCCGCTTCTGACCGTGTTGTTAACTCCCCGAGTCAGGATGGGCGGGGGAGAAAGTGAGCCCCGCTTCGACGTCTCCGATTCGACGGGGTGCTTGCTTGTCAAGGAGCTGCTCCAATGGGGGCTGCCCGTAGTGCCCAACCCCACCATTCAGTATTACTACTGAGCCCTGAGGAAGGGAGCGGGTGAGGCAGGCGGGCGCGCGCGCGCAGCAGTGAGGGAGGAAGAGCAGAAAGGCCGGTCAGTATAAGCAGCCGCGACGCCGACGGGGGAGTCGGTCCAGGCGGCCCCTCGCGGGGAAGCGCGGCCTCCTCAGGCGCGGCCTCTGAGGGGAAGCCGGGGGAGGGCGGCGCGGCCCTCTGTCGAGGGAGAAGCGCCTCAACGGGCGGCGCTGGGCCTCCGTCTGCCCCCTTTCCCTCTTCCTCAGCATCCCCCGCTTCTCCCCTTCAGGCCCGGCAGCCGCCTCGTGAGGAGTCCGCTCCGCCGCCGCCGCTTCCTCCGCCTCCTGCCCATGTTCAGCGAACGCAGGTTGGCCGCCGCCCCTCCGTCGCCTGTGCCGCCGCCGCTGCCGCCTTTCCGCCGCCGCCGGGAGCCGCCGCCATGGCTGACTTGGGGCAGGAGGTCGTCCACTTGGTGTGGGGCAAGAAGCCCGGCACGCAGGGCCTCGCCGACACCATCTTCTGCCGGTGGGCACAAGGTACGTCCTGGCCTCCTGCCCCCCATCGCTCCTCCTGAACCTCCCTCCCTCTTCGCACCTTCATTCACTTTCACATTCCCCTTTCACACCCCCTCCTTCCGCATCCTGCACACACGTCTTCTTGCCTTTGGACCCCTGTGCTCTTTCCTTCTCCCCCTTTCCTCGTCATGTGGGAAGCGTGATGCCGTCCGTAGTGTCTGGCATGGCAAGCGCTCCCAGCTGGCGCAGCCTTGAACTGCATCATGGCAGAGAGGTGGGTGGTTTGTGACTTGGGAGAATAAGGGATCTCCACCCTTCTTGCTCTTCTGCCCCCCCCCCTTTTTTTGCACTGTAAGTAGTGAGCTGAGATATATTCTCTCCCCTTGATACATCTTCCTTTGCTTGTTAGTCCCCTGTTTTGAAATGGGCAGGAAGGGACCCAAATATACCCAGTGGTGGCACAGTCATCATAATAGCTGTTAAAATGTGTCATTTGCCTCCCCACTCCCACCCTATGTATGAGCTGGGGATATCTTTTGCACCATAAGATTGGCAAACCCCTTCTTCAGTCTTCAGTATATTTACTATTGGGAAAGGGTGTACAGTGGTACCTCGGGTTAAGTACTTAATTCATTCCGCAGGTCCGCTCTTAACCTGAAACTGTTCTTAACCTGAAGCATTACTTTAGCTAATGGGGCCTCCCGCCACCCCGCGCCGCCAGATCATGATTTCTGTTCTCATCCTGAAGCAAAGTTATTAACCCGAGGTACTATTTCTGGATTAGCGGAGTCTGTAACCTGAAGCATATGTAACCTAAAGCGTATGTAACCCGAGGTACCACTGTATTTGCTACCCAGTTAGGCCTGGGTGATATATTGCCCCGGACCAATATGAGGAGCAGACCGTGATGTCGGTTTCACTCAGCAGTATATCGCTGGTGAAACCGCCTCTGCTCCTGAGTCCCTCTGCTAGCAGCGTCCGCTGGAGGGAGTCAAGAGTTCCTATATCTCTGAGTGAAACCGCCATCCCACTCTGCCCTCATACGATAGAGGGGGAGAAACAAGCTGTATCGGTGAGGGACCAATACAGTTTGTTCCTCCCTCTGCATCTTTAAACTGCTCAACTGAGGAGTGTGCAACTGCCCTTGCCTCAGTTGAGCAGTTAAAGGAGCCCCCAGCCCGGCACTGGCTTCTGCAAGCGGGGTGGGGGCTCTGTGAAACTGCTCAGCTGAGGGGAGCACAGTTGCCACTCCCCACAGTGGGCAGTCAAAGGAGCCCCAATGCTTCTCACGTGAGCCGTGAGAGCATTGGGGCTGTCTCAGCTGGGGGGGGGGACCTCCCCACAGCTGAGCAGCACAAACAAGCCGCATTGTCCTAGCCTGTGAGCCTGGGTGAAACTGCCTCAGCTCTCAAGGTGAAAGCTGGGGAAGTTTCACCCGGTGTCTCGTGGGTAGAAGCCAATGCATCTTGTTTTTTCAACATCACAGTATATCGCCAAACTGCAATGTTTGGCTGGCGATACACCATGATGTCGAAAAGCTGATATCACCCAGCCCTAAACCCAATAGGTGACAAGATACATCTGCTGCTGCTCCTTTGCCTGTGGTCAAGGACAAACTAGTAATTTTCTCCCAGCTGTGTTGTAAACAGTGCTACTATGTTCAGCACAGTTTTATTGCTATTTGTAATAACTATCCTACATGGTTGGGTAACATTGGTGCTATTCCATCATGTGTGTAAGTCAAGGGTCCTGGGTTTCCTTAAGACGGTCATTCTAACCATTAGTTGTTCTGATAAATATCTGCCATGTCGTATTGCATGTTATGCTTTTGGTCTGGTTTCACAGAGCTGGAAAATTGGTGCTCTTGCCCAAGAATCTGAAATACTTTTTGATTGGTTAGCAAGGCTTTCTTCTAAGTACTGCATGGGCTTGGGATGTGATATCCTTTTAGTATAATTTCACATTTACAGTCTAGATTGCTGTGGAATATGTAGAAAAAGGTTTCAACATTTCCTCTTCTCTAAGCTTGACTTTGGCTTACTCTATGCATATAATGATGCAGCATTGATTGCATTGATAGCAAACACTGCTATCAATAGCTTGTCCATGAATAATGAATATAAAAACCTTACAAGTTATTGTGTTCTTTCTGTTTTGCTTTGGGAGATTTTTTTTTGTAACCTAAAAGTTGGTGTGCTGTGATCTTGGTAGAAAGAAATTATGGATATTGTCCATACTACTGATTCCCAAGAGGTTAATAAAAGCTTTGAATTGCTTATTACAGCACTGGCAATAGAAACAATGAAGTGCAAATATTTATCCAATAATAATTACTGTGTTTGGGCATGGCACCGAAAGCTCCCTCTAAAAAACAGCATTTAGGAATCATCCATGTAATCTTTCTAGAAAATTAACATGGTCCTCATTTTAATTTCTCCGTATTTTTCATTTGACAATATTTTATAATGTCCTTTTAGAAGTGCCATCCTGTAATTGGAAATTGCTAAATTTTGTGGACACCACAAGATGATTTAGCCCTATAGCCCATTTAAAATAGCTGCTGGTGCGACCTAGCCAGTATATGCTCATGTAGAACTGATAAATGGAAATGTAAACATGTTAAATGAATTAATTGGGCAGTAACATGTGTAGTTACTCTTGTCTTTGCAGTATACATCGTCTCCACCCTTTCAAATGTTGTACCCAGGTAACTAACTCCTTGGTAGATCTACAAAAAAAGGCACCCCCTAAAGTTATTGTTTCTGGGTTGACAATATCTTAGCCCAGGCTTCCTCACCCTCGGCCCTCCAGATGTTTTTGGCCTACAACTCCCATGACCCCTAGCTAGCAGGACCAGTGGCCAGGGATGATGGGAATTGTAGTCTCAAAACATCTGGAGGGACGAGGTTGAGGAAGCCTGTCTTAGCCCATTCCATCATTTCCATTAACTTGAACCTCAGATGCATGGCAAACCACTCTAATGAAATTATTTGTTTTGCAATAAAAGGTAAGTGAGGGAAGAGAACGAGAACAGTTAGTTGGAAGTTTGGCTTCTTGCAGCAAAATGCTGCTGCTACGTGCTCTCCTCAGTGCAGTTCTGGCCACAGTTGATGTTTCATCATCAATAAAATATGCATTTGTGGTTATGACCATGTTCAAAATGTGTTGGTGTTATAGAAATGCTCCTGTTTGCTTCCAGTGGCCTACTTCATACATCACATTAAAAATAGATTGTGGTTCAATGTGAATGAGCAATGAGGTGGTATATGCTGCTCATAGGTTCCTAAGGTGGTCCTCCTTCAATCTTCCTGCTGCACCACAAAAAAAACAAGCCAAAATTTGGCTTGTCATATTGTTCAAACCTGGGCTTGTGGTTTGTTCTTCTCAAGCCACACCACGAGGGTTAAACCAAGAACAAACCTTGATTTCTGTTCCGGACTCCAGCTTGTTATGTCTGTGGAGCAATAGGAGCAGGAGCAGGAGAAGAACACCACAGGAACTTTGAGCAGTGTGCAGTAGCACTACAGCCTGTTTAAACTATGGTTTAATATGATATGCATTCTAGACCAATGTGATTTGTCCTTTATTTTTCTACAACTGTTCTTTGTGTGTTGGCTGCTGAAACAATAATCACACATTCTGTTGTCCCCTCTTGGGAACGGCTATTTTCCTTTTATTTCCTGTTTTACATTCAGGTAGGTAGCCGTGTTGGTCTGACGCAGTCAAAATAAATAATTTTTTTTATAAAAAAAAAAATTTAGTGTCCAGTAGCACCTTAGAGAGCAACTAAGTTTGTTCTGGGTATAAGCTTTTGTGTGCATGCATACTTCTTCAGATACCAGATATCTGAAGAAGTGTGCATGCACACGAAAGCTTTGTAAATTTATTTTCCTGTTTTACATAGAGAGGAGTGTTATAAACGGGTGTTGCATTGATTGCATTTCTGTGTGTGTGCATGCTCAGTTAACATTTTGGAGCTTATATGTGCTTGTAACTATGTTACTTGTTATTGTTAAGCTATTACCTTAGGTTCTTTAGTTTGGCTGCTGCTGTCAGTGCTTTTATATTAAAGTCTGTTTGATTGAGGGACCTGGCAGCTGGATATGTTGATAAGAAAGGGAAGGGCAAGTAGTATGTTCTGGCAGTTGTCTGTTTTAAGGAGCTAATCACTGAATTTGTTTTCATGAGCAGATTAGGGTTATGTTAGAGCTCCATGTTGCCTTCAGAAAAACACTGGCAACAGTGGACAGGAAATCTCATGGATGAACAATCCCAAATCTCTGAAACGTGTTGACCAAAAAAAACGGATGAATCATAAAGTTGTCTTGGCCTTCTCTTTTCTTCTTCTTTTTTTAAAAAGGTTCACTTTGACTGGCTGTACTGAAATAATTTGGTCAGAAGTGCAAGCTTGTTTGGTTATAATTTAAAATATTTGTGCCTATAATTGAAGGATCAATAAGAAAGAAATGTAAGTTGAAGAAATCCCAGCTAAGTAATTAATTTGAAGAAGAATTTTCTTTTTGCAAAGGTTGGATAAAAAACATTTCAATCACCACCCTGGTCCTTTTGTGTACATAATAAATCACATTCTCGTGTTCTCACTCATGTAGACGGTGTGTGAACTTGAGTGACTGGGGGTATAGTCAGCTGCAATTTCTGTGTTTGCACAGGATGGAAAAATTGTTTTGTGATATATGAGAAAGTTGTGTGACCTGCTAGAAGATTTCTGGTAAGACAGGATAAACACCTCTGTCACAAATACAGTATACGCTACAGTGTCTGTTAAATAGATGACTGTTGCCCATCTGTTCTATTGACTTGGTTAATATATTTTATTCTTCACTTCCTTCTCCCCTAAGTTGGATTTTTCTGGTTTTGGTTCTATTGCAGCTTTTCCCCACCCCCTTTCACCCCAGCAACTCGCTTAGACTGGAATAGAAGCTTTCAAGCTTTACAGTGCCTTTGTGTTAATATAAGCTACAGTTATTGTCAAGTCAGAAAACCTGGCCTTGTTTTGCTGTCCTATTATATAACAATTTTAGAGCTGCTGAGCTCAATGCAAGTTTGTTCTAACATCGTATTGTGACTATAATCTTCAGTACTCACATTCAAAATATTCCTCCTAAATACGCTTTTTAAAAAGTTCATAGAGTCCTTGGAATTACATGCGAGTCTTGCTTTTTATGTTGACCTGCTTCAGAGATGGACTGTACTTGTTTACCATTTCCTACAGTATCCTTGTAAATGTTTGTGTCTTTGTAAAAATACCCCCTTCACCCCTTATATTGACATGGCAGATGAAACTTGTATCCATTGTTTTTGGTTTGTTTCATGGTTCCATTTAGCTACTGGAAAAGCTAAGCAAAAGCGACATATTTGTACACTCTGTTCACTCCAATACCTCGTTTGTGTCAAAGCAATACACTGATCTAGATTGAATATGACCTAGAAAGTGCATGGAGTTCAATACAAAATTGAGCAAAACTGCAGAGCACAGTTTTTGTGTGTGGCTGGAATGTACTATTGGGGAGTTAGGATATCTGTGTTCAGATGGAATTTATTATTTGTTGAACCCAGTTGAAGGTAGGCATTTGACGAGACCATGACTGTGTCCTCTCACCCACCCACCGGTATATGGACATTACCATGTAGGTTTCCACTCCCCCACCCCCAGTCATTTATTTATACTTTGTCCCCAGGACTTTTTCTTAAAACATTAAGAAAAAGATTTTTTTTACAATGTTGGAACCTGCTTAGGTTCTGGTTTAAGAAGAAATGTAGTGATATATATGAATATATGAATGTGTATGTGTGTGTATAGATAGATAGATAGATAGATACAATAAAGGTATGCCTGTCACTGCAGCACTTGTGTTGGAATAAGGATTTGATGGCCTTTGCCAAGCCAGACTGAATAACATTTGCACATTTCTAACAGAAGGTAGGATAAGTTAGGATATAAACACTAGGAAATGATAATTACCTACTACCACCCCGAAAATTAGGCTGGGGTTAATGCAGCTTCTTGAAAACATCAGTACAATGAATTGATACCGTTAAAAGAACTGAGCAGGGTTGTTTGAGTTTTATTAGGCAGAGACAGAATATTGAAAGTAGAACTCAGTAGTTTGACTCTGACAAGCAATAAGTATGAAAGACTGTTCTATTAATGGACATTTTTCTTTGGAAACAACTAACCCATTATTTTGGTTCCTCCTATTAGGGTTTGTATTTAGTGAATCAGAATCAACTGCATTAGAACAATTTGAAGGAGGCCCCTGCGCTGTGATTGCACCCATCCAGGTAATACTATAGAAGCTTGTGGAAACTATGTAAATTTGAAACATACCTATTTTTGCCTTCTGTCCTTTGGCTTATGTGAAAACCTAAAGTAAACACTATGACAAATATGTATTGGTTGGGTTTACTTTAGGTGATTATTCTCTGTTGAAGCAGTACAGATTGCACGTTACCAGTGCTGCTGTTTTGAGCCACTGTTGTCTGCAGCATTAATATAATACATAAAATCAACATGCCTGCTTAAATCAGTTGCAGATAGAGATCTGAGAACTAACCTGTTCCGTGAGTTCCTGCAGCTCTTAACTCTTGATAAAGTTCATTTTATGTTTTAGGTAGGGGCAGATATCTAGTCCTCTAAATTGGCCATCAAATGCTTCAAACATTTGTAAGATTTGGAGAGAATGATATAATTGCATGAGAAAATTTATCATGCTGTTATAGTTAAGCAATTTCTAATCCTGTAGCTATGTAAATAAAAGTAAATTGTACCTTTGCATAGGGAAAAAGGCCTTCTGTAACTAGGAATGTATTCAATTTTTTTAAAAAAGAAGTTAAACTGATATTGAAAATGGAACACTTTGCACCACTGAAGAACAAATCATACATATCTGATATGTCAATGTTATCTTTAATATAAGGCATTCCTTCTGAAGAAGCTTTTTACTTGTGAGAAATCTACCTGGAGACAATGTCAAGGTAACCATAAACCTACCTCCACAAGAGGGTTTTGATATAGTACTTGCCAGCAAATTTCACAGTGCTAAGCTAAATTATAGTTCACTATTATTCATGAGCTATTAGCAATATTCTTCTGCAGTAATTTGATGTTACAATTAGTGTACAAATGCATTATTTGCTGATGATTTTGAAATAGAGAATATAGAATTCAGCATTACAAAATTTAAGTGGGGCTCAAGAAAGTCCAAATCCTTCAAATGGAATTGTCATGTAAATTAGGCAAGTGGCAGAAATGTCACTTTATATTCTTTATTCTTACTACACAGTTTGTCTTACTGTTTCTGCTGAACTTGTTTCTTTTATCTTAGGACTGGAGAAGGTGGACTTATCCTCATTGATCATTGTATTCAATTGGGATAAGTGGAGGCACTTGGAACTCTGATGAATAAAGAACCTTTGCCCATTACCCTTGATTTTCTAAGGCTTAGTAGAAATTAATTGTGTGTATGTTTAGTTTCTCCCCTAGAAAAAACAGTGAACTGGAATCTGCCAAAGTTGTCAAATTATAAATGCAAAGAAAAACTGGTTCTTAAGGTTGAACTCATTTGTATTGTGATCATGACATGAATTGTAAACAGATCTTTTCTGCTCCGCATCATGCCTCCCTTGTTCCATTTTCGTACTCTTATCCTCCCGTCCCTGCTGAATTAAGTAGAAAAATTGGACTGGTAGATTAGATGTCTAGGTAGCCTCAAGATATAGATTTGACCTGGAAACCACCAGTTGCCAATCCTTCTCCTAGCCTGCCTTAAAGCTGCCAGAGTTTAAGGAAAACCCTGAGTAGTATGAACATTGCCAGATGTTTTGCATGCAAGTTCAATGTCAAAATTTGTGTTTGTTCTGACTTTGAATATTTCAGAGGAAGAGCAGAAGAATCTCCTCTGTCATACCTTAAGTGATATTTTGGAACTGGCTTCCTCTGATAATTCAGAATCATACTGTTTGGTAACATGGCGAAGAGGAAGGACTGCTGAAGAAACTGCTAGTATTTCTGAGAGTTCTGCTGAGTCAAGCCACCAAGAGGACCAGCCTTGTAAGATATGCCTTGTGTAATATGATTCTGAACACTGCTTTGGTTTTGTTAACAAGCTTTATTTTGTTTTTAAGAATGCTTTTTATTGTATACCAGATCTCTTATCCTGGCACTAGTAGTTCTTCAGTTGCAAAAATTAAGCTCAATACAGACTCATTTAAGTCCCATTGATCTAAGGCAGGGTGGGCTAACCTGTGCAGCATCCCCTCTGCTGAAGTCACTGAACTTGATTCCCATCGTTCCTGATGATTGGCCATGTTGGTTCAGACTGATGGGAGTTGTAGTTCAACAACATCTGGGGAGTCACAGGTTAGCCACCCCTGATCTAAGGACATTGACAAACACTCAAGCCTAGTGTTGCATCCCATTTTATGGTGCTAGGCAACCATTAGCTATTGAATATTAGGTTTATAATATTTGGATTATATAAACACATTTTGACTTAATAAAATGGTGCCCCTAATGAATCAGGCAGCAGACTATATAGCAATATTTTTCTGATACAATAATTTAGAAATGCTGTAGGTGTGAGGCATAATATTGAAGAGGCATTCCTCTATCTGCTTCATGTGACACGTGCATAACTTAGGAATTTCAGAAGTATTCATATGCAAATTTTCATCAGTTTAATATTTATTAAGCATAAGATTGATCGACTGATCAAATGTCAGTTCTATTAAATATATACTTAATTGAAGAGGACCAGTGTGAGTGATTTGGAAACGACTTTTCGCTGTTAAATTTATCTTACTACCCTTGTGTGTTCCATAGTTACTTTGGGTTATTTTAACACATTTGTTTAGTTTCCACCTGCAGTCAATTTAATATGATATCATTAGGTCATTCACAATGGGCAGTCACTAGAGGAGAGTTGCTATGAAGACTCTTGCATGTGATTAGTGTTCTGATATTCTTGTCAAAACATTTTCTCTAAATAAGTAAATTTATTCATACCTGGGTCATAAAAATAAAAGGAGAAATTGAACCTTCCCCCTCACATAAATACACTTTATCATCATGTTATTGCAGTTCAAAATATTCTTATTTAAAAAGCTACTTTTAAAAAGAGAATGCTGGAAAACCACTATAATTCTATGACATTCTGAAAAGTGCTATTATGGGTACCTTTTAGTAAAAGAGAACACCACATTCCTATCACTGGTATCGACTTCTGCATAATTGTGTGACATTTACCAGCTTAGTTTCAGCAACTCGTGATTTGTACTTTTCTATTCTTTCCTGATTTAATTGCAACAGAATGGGCACATATTTAATAAATATTGGTAACACAAGTATTCAGTATCCATTATCAGGTTCTAAGTACATGCGAAGAGTCTGGCTTTTAAAACCAACAAGCAAACCCACACTTATTCAATATAGGGAACTTTTGGTGACATCTCACATTGCACAGGTGGGCATCTGCTCACATAGTGGGACTTGCCCTTGCTCCTTACAGTAGGGCTGGGTGATACATCAACATATCGTCCAAAACCAGCTTGATCATTGTTTCATAATATTTGAGCTGGCAATATATCGTGAATCAAAATGTGTGTAAGGGCTAGGCAATAACTGGTTTTCAACATTGCAATAACTCACCAGTTAAACACTGCAATGTTATCACCAGCTAAACCTCACAATATCATCAGCTAAATACTGCAGTGTCATCACTAGTTAAACATTGGAATAGCTTAGCATTATGTGAATGAGTTTGGTCTCCCACTCTGCTCACATGCTGCTTTTCCACTCTGGCAAAGCTGACAAGAACTTTGTAAGCTTTCTCTTCCAGTTTTGATAAGCCACAGCTTACTATGGCAGAAAACCAGCAGACGGTACTCAGTCTTGACTTTGGGTAGTGGAAACCCACTTCAAATCTTAGGAAAGTTCCAGTGTCTCACCAGTAGGTGTGATGGGACATCCACATCTGCTCTGGAGGGTCTCCCAACCCTCTGGAGTTATTTGGCAGGCACACAGGGACTGCAAAGGGCAGGATAGGACAGAAAATACCTATTGGAATAAGGATACAAGTAATATCCAGTACTGAATAACTAGCATTTATTCAATAGTCTTACAAAACTGGAGTAATAAGAAAACATAATGCCCTATTGTGATTGTAGTTCCCTTCAGATGCCCTGCATGAAAGGCAGGGATGAGGAGGCATGCAGCTTTGGGGTTGGGGCCAGAGTGTGGCCCCACTTCCCCTTCAAGTTGTGGAGCCCTGTATATATAGACAGACATTCAACACCCACTCTTACACACACACACACTAAAGCTATGAATAGTATTTTTAAGATGATTGTCATTTTTAAGATTTAGCGTGGTATTCTTTCTCACACTGCTGTGTCTGTCATACAGTGAATTAAATTCGAGGGAGGGATTTGACGAATTCCTGGTTGCACAAAGTGACTGTAAAATGCAGTGCAGAAATTGGCCTTGAGATCATAAAATGGGATGTAATATTGAAACTTGCTATACAGAATACTTTCTGCTAGTTTGTTAGGAAAATAAACACCTGTAACTTTCTGCTTCCCCTCTTTCCTCTCTACACTAACACCAGATCACCTGCCTGCATTTTGCTCGTCAGGCATGTTTTTCGTATTTGACTTTTACTCAAATTTCATTTTCCTCAATGCATACCAATTTTGAAGCTACAACTTATTATAGAAAGAAAGGCATATATATTTAGGAATATATGCAAAGTACCACAAAAAGTGTTCCTCATAAGGCCTTTTCAGCTCCCTCTTCTGGTGGCAGCAGCCCAAAGGGCACTAGGAAGGGAAAACTGGCAGTTTTTACCTTCCCATTCACATGCTTCTCTGCATACATACTGGAGACTTCTGTGGCTGAAAAACTATGACCCGGGGCAATATCTTTATATAATTTTTTACGACTTCTGGTTTCTTCCTCATCCCCCGAAGAACAGATATGGAAAAAAAAACTGTTAGCTGAAAAGTCTGCAACTTTCCCTTGTTTGTCTACACACTTCTGATGAAACTATAACAGATTCTTATTCTAGTAATTAACCACACAGCCGTAATACATTTTATGGAGTGTGTTGTTTGCTGCAAAACAACAACAACAAACCCTTGGAACTTTAGTAAATCATTTTTTTTTTTTTTGGTACAGATACTTTATATTAAAGCTTTCCCATTTCCCATTTTATACTTCCTTAAATAGTGAATCAGACAGCTTAATTCAAACCTTCCTGTTTTATACAGGACTTTTTCTCTCAGCAGTACTTGTGTTCCTCTAATCATAGTCCATCTCTTGACATACTGTTCTTACCATTCCATTCAGTTCAGCAGGGTCAGTGAAATTGGCAACAGTAACTGGTCCACAGATTGCCAATGCAAAGTCTACTTGTTTCATCTGCTTTATGTTGTGCACAACTATGATTTGTTTGCCATTCATTGACTGAAATAGTGCTAATTCACAGGTTCAGAAATACCTTTATATCATAAGTCCCTCAGGTTGTGATATTCAAAATCCATAATTTTATTGGATGTGATTGGTGCAATAATTAATTGGTGCAGTAATTAATTTTAGAACACTTTTCACTGAGGCAGGGGTTCCCAAACAGTGATCTGCAGACCACTGGTGGTCCCTGAGCTTCATTCAGGTGGTCCACAGCATGTCTGTAGAAGTACAATTAAAATCAGAGCATTAAGCACAGCGCATTATAAATTGCAGCAGCAGGCAGAAAAATAATGAAATGGTCTGCCAAGATTCTCCGCAACGTTCAAGTGTTCCATGAGGAAGGGAAAGTTTGGGAACCACTGCAGTAAGGCCTGCTGTTCGTACCTGATCAATGTCCCAGAATAGGCATTTGTTACTAAAGCTGTATGTAACAATTTCAGTGTTCTTCACTTCCCAAAGTGACACTATTGTTAATTAGTACAGTTCAAAGGTATCTTCCATAGAAGATGAATCCTGCTAGTCTGATTTTGAGGGCTTGTCATTCTTGTCATGTAATAAGAATTGCAGAAGCTGCCGCTATCACCTTTTCCTTAGGACCCCATATTAACAGTGATACACTAGTTTTCCTAGATGTTGAGTTTTATATGACAGTCATACCTCATGTTACGGCCGCTTCAGGTTACGTGTTTTCGGGTTGCGGACTGCGGGAGATCCGGAAGTACCGGAACAGTTTACTTCCAGGTTTTACCGCTTGTGCATGCGCAAAAGCGCTAAATCACGCTTCACGCATGTGCAGAGGCAGCACTTCAGGATGCAAAAGCTGCGGGTTGTGGACGTGCCTCTGTCATGGATTATGTCTGTAACCTGAGGTTCCACTGTATATTATATTCTGTCTCACGTCACTCAAAGCAACATATATGTGGTTCCCATGCAGGTACGATGTTATGCTGAGCCCATTTCACTAATACTTGGTAACACATTAGTTAACTGGGAAGGAATCAGTTGGGTAAAGGAAAAGCCCACTTCTAATTTAATTACAGAGGATGAGGGAAAGGTGGTATAAAGTCTGAACCTAGGAAGGCACTAAATGCTGTATTTTTTCCTACTGTTGGGTTACTTAACACATACTTGAGTAGAATAATAGAGGATAGTTATCTTTAAAAAGAGCATTGCTTAAAATATATTTTTCTAATTAGTTATTCTGAAGCAAAATGTGTTGAGAGAAATGGAATGAAAATACAGCTGTCTTAACACCGGTTCTGCTCTGAAGTTATCTGTATAACTACTCGCTTGCTCTTGTGGAAAATTTACTCAAATAGCAGAATTGTGTGTTCATTTTGCTTGCACTTGGTGACCTCCTTGCTGTGGTTGTCATATTTATGCAAAACTTGAAAGTTTTCAAGGCTATTAAACTAATGGTTTGCTAGTCTAGACTCAATATTGCTAAATTGTTTGTACCTGTATTGTGGAGACCTAACTGGGTTACATTAAATTGGCTTGCGCCATGTAACTATACAAGTGGAAATTGGTCCAAAAGAGGGTGGGGGCTGGGGTTAAATTATGAAGACTTGGAAGTATTCTAGCTTGCTGTGTGTTTCTTGTGTCACTTTTTGCCATGTGTAGTGCTGAAAAGTGTCTCTTGTGTATAGCTGCCTTGGCTGTCGAAGAGCTTGGCTTTGAGCGATTTCATTCATTAATTCAGTAAGTAACATGTTGGAACACTTAAAATACACTATCTTGTAGTTCCCCAGTAAACAAAACTTCTTTCAGGTGTAAGCCTCATACTTAATGCAGTTGAACATCAAGGTTTAAAAGATAATTAGGCTCAAGAAAGCTATTGCTTTAAGATCAAAACAACTGTGACTATTCAAATCTGTAATTTTAACATGATTTTGTTGCTGCTTTAATTTAGGCGTTTATTTTAAAATTTCAGCATTAGCTTAGAAGAGTCATGATTGAACATTTCAAGTGGCCTGAATACAAAATTGTCCAGTGAGCCACATGTATTTAGAAAAAACTGCATGGTTTTAAGCAATCCAGTTTCTTACTCAATCACCACAATTCAGCAGTATCTATCTTAACGTGAACTCAGGTTACACTCCCAGATGCTCAAAAGCTAAGTTGGGAATGAAAGATGGACAGACCCATATCCCCACTAATAGGTGATTCACAGTTTGAGGACATGTCAATGGGCCTGTGCTGTGAGAGGTATCTAAGTGAATTCTCTCTGCACAATTCGACTCCAGGGAGGAGTGAAGAAAGGGCACCTGAACTTACATTACCAATTGAATGGTTGGGTTTGTGATGGAAGGGAACATTCTGTAAGCGCAGCATTAGGCATGCAGTCTTCTTTACTTACAGCTTTCTGAACTGAGTTCAATATGGGGCTATTAGCTTAATCAGGCGTTTGCTATTTGAGAAAGTTTATAAGGGCAAATGCTACTATCTGCCCATTGTGTCTTTACCAACAAGAACAAAATTTTAAGTAGTCATTAAAGTTGTGAAGACCTAAATCTAACATCTGCCAATTTTCACTGTCGTATGAGAACTTTTCAGGTGAAAAATCAAAACCAGGCTTCTAAAATTGTGATGCGTGCTGCCATATTGACACTACTTGTACTGTGTACATGCTATAACCATTATTTTTTCTCCATTAAGACAGTTGCTGCTAATTGTGTTGTAAATGTATTGGTCACAGATACTATTGCATGCCTTAAGCATTCAGTTGCACCTTACGTTATCTTGCATTTTGTTGCTAGTCAGCAAACAAATACAGAATTGAACTCTGTCAAAGCCAAGTACCATGTCTAATGGACTTTTCTTTTTAATCTTCAGCAAGCAGTCATTCACAAGCTTTCCTGATTTCAAAGAAGCAGTTTGGAATCAGTATTCAGTCTGGACAAACAAATTTGGAGTGTTGCTTTTTCTGTATTCTGTGATACTGACAAAGGTTTGTTTCTATTTTTAAAAATGTTTGTTTTCTTAAACTAGCAAAAAAAGAAAAAGAAAAAGGAAGGGGATTAAAGGTGCTTGTTTCCTCCATCCCATCACCTTCAGTACCATGTGTGTGCCTGCATGAGGCAGGCATATTTATTAACTTCCTGTTGTTTGGCCTGATCTTCCCATTTTGGTTTCATAATCTGCAATTAGATGTTTTAATACTGTAAACTGTTAATTTTACACTGTGGGAGAACCTTGAGCTTTGTATAGGCACTTGTTAATCATGGATGGGGTGGGGGAAGCCCTCAAGCCAGCTGCTTTTTAGATCTTTGTTTTGATCAGTGCATAGGTTTGAAGGGCAGTTTTAAGCTTGTTTGACTGAATGTACTGTGAAACCTCCCTGCAAGTTGGAACCCTGGCTTATCAGGTTTTTGAGTTGTGGGAGCTGCTTCTAAGCAATTACGGTAAATCAAGAACGTGTGAACAAAAACAAACAGAAAAATAAAGAAACTATCATTGAAACGCTGACACAAAAACTTTGCACATATACTAAGCAAAAGAATGAAGAATCACTATCCCTACCCCACTCTCCCCACCCCCCAACCTCACAGTGTCTATGATAGCAGTGTCTCACGCTGAATGTTACTGACCTGTAGAAAGGACTCTATGAATTGAAAACAGAGACGTTGCGTGTACCCTTGTTAACCGTGAAAATCCTTTAATTAAAAACAACTGCCGTATTTTCCCGTGTATAAGGTGATCCTTTTTGCTTAAAAAAAAATAGGCATAGTGAATGCAGAGGGGGGACGTGCGACTAATGGCAGCAGCAAGCAGGAGATTGGCAGCATGATTGGGCGGGTGATTGGTGGCTGCGGCAAGGCCTACTGGCGATTGGTTGTGGCTGTGGCAATTGGGCAAGCGATTGGCAGCCGTGGTGAGGCGGGCAGGCGATTGGCAGCTGCAGCAAGTGGGCGGGTGGGCTGTTAGTAGCAGCGAGCAGGCAGACAATTGGCAGCTGCGGCGAGGTGTGCGATCAGCAGTGGCTGTGGCAAGCGATTAGCAGTGGCAGGCAGGCGGGTGAGCGATTGGCGGAAGTAACTTTCCCCATCCGCCCAAAAAGCTAAACAACTTAATTTCTTAATTTTGGGTTAAAAAAAATAGGCATCGTATTATACATGGGGGCATCTTATACTGTACCCAGAAAAAATATGGTGTGTGTGGTTTTTAACTCATTCAGACTTTTGGGGTCATTTTACGAAGATCTAAACAGCAGCTGGCTTCTCTTAGGAGCACTGGGGCCAAGACTTGCATGCGCCCCTCTGTCCTATGCCCAGTTTAATCCTTGTTCAGTGACAGCCTGAAAGGCAATTCATTTATCTTGTTGGAACAAGTTAGTCAAAATGAAGGGCAAACTAACCATATGTATCAGTTTTTCCTGATACTAATATTTAGGTTTGTTGACAAAATGTTAAGGGTTGGTTATTTGTTAAAAGAAAAAAATATTTCTTAGCAGGAAGATGTGGCCACTATGCCAGTAAATATACCAGAAAGCATTCCTGTTTTCTAGGGCATTGAAAACATAAAAAATGAAATTGAAGATTCAACTGAGCCATTAATAGATCCAGTGTATGGTCATGGAAGGTAAGCTCTGGTTAGTCCTATACTTTCCTTAAGGAAAGTACTGCCTGTTTTCTGAACAAATCATACAGTACTTTAGAAACACAGTTTCAGCCATTATTAATTACACAGGATCCCACATATTCACCATCAATTTCTTTGTATTAATAATGGTCAGAAACTGTGTCAGTGCAATACTTTGCTCAGAACAGGCACACTCTGGGCAAGGAGCATAGACAACCAGCTTGCCTCCATGACCATACACTGACGCACAACGGCCTCACCATTTACTTAATGCCCAGGAAACGCCTGGCAAGAGCTGCTGGGCAGGCCACAAGAAACATTTTCTTTAACACAACCCTAAGACTTGTCATAACAACTAACCATATGTATCAGTTTTTCCGGATACTAATATTTAGGTTTGTTGACAAAATGTTAAGGGTTGGTTATTTGTTAAAAGAAAAAAATATTTCTTAGCAGGAAGATGTGGCCACTATGCCAGTAAATATACCAGAAAGCATTCCTGTTTTCTAGGGCATTGAAAACATAAAAAATGAAATTGAAGATTCAACTGAGCCATTAATAGATCCAGTGTATGGTCATGGAAGGTAAGCTCTGGTTAGTCCTATACTTTCCTTAAGGAAAGTACTGCCTGTTTTCTGAACAAATCATACAGTACTTTAGAAACACAGTTTCAGCCATTATTAATTACAAAGGAATTGATGGTGAATATGTGGGACTGGTTTTTTATCATTTCATCTGGAAGCATCTCATATTGTTAGCACCCGTTGTGTTGGAGGTATGATTTTATACCAGATGAACTGAAATTGAACCAAGACCTTCTGGAAAAAAGTTAAGTGCATGTTGTAGCTTGCTTTATCTCCCTATGTGCTTTTCAAGAAAAAAGTTGTAGTGCCATCAAAATTAATTTGTTTAGAAAAATGTGAATGCAAATTGCAAATCTAAAAGCTTGTTTTCTTCATATTAAGCCAAAGCTTAATTAACCTCCTGTTGACGGGGCATGCAGTATCTAACGTCTGGGATGGAGACAGGGAATGCTCAGGAATGAGTAAGTTTGTACTTGATATGACTTTGCTGTGGTGCAGCATCAAGAGATATACTAAATGTTTTGCATTTGAATTGTATATAGTTCTTACAAACTAAAGCTACGGCTTTATACGAATGCTTGTGTTTCTTTTTGTCTATTTATGAATATTGACATATTACTCCACTTTAAAATGCTACTTGACTGCAAAATTCTAGTCATTCGTTTTTGGTAAACTGCCTCCCCACTAAGTTCTGTGAGATTTGAGTGCTGGGCTTTAATAAATTTATTCAAGGAGTCTGGGGTGTCAGGAGTTCACATTAGCCCATGTTAGCTAATTGCCAGTACTGTGTACAGTGGTACCTCGGGTTAAGAACTTAATTCGTTCTGGGGGTCTGTTCTTAACCTGAAACTGTTCTTAACCTGAGGTACCACTTTAGCTAATGGGGCCTCCTGCCGCCGCCCCGCCGCCGCTGCGCAATGTCTGTTCTCATCTTGAAGCAAAGTTCTTAATCCGAGGTACTATTTCTGGGTTAGTGGCGTCTGTAACCTGAAGCGTCTGTACAGCACAAGGAAACTTGTACTCTTTAGTTTACCACAAGATGGCAGTAGGTCCTAAGGAAGAAAAATAGGAGTTTAGAATGTGGGTAAACTTCTCCAAAATCATCTAGTTGCTATGAAAGACATTGCACAAGGTATTTACTGTGGGATAGCTATGCAGTGCCTTTGTCTCCCATTTAATAAGCATTTATATCTTGAAATAGGAAGGCTGGTAGTGGTTTCATGTAATCAAGCTCTTTGGCAATGTGCTTATAAGGAACTTGATAGAATTCTTCCTTGAATCTAGAACTATGCTCTTAGTAGAATGAAAAATAAATACATGTAAAATGTTCACTAATTTAATCCCCATGTCACTCCCCCCACCCCACCCAATCTGATCTGTTTGCCCACAGAGTGTTTGTCCCTAGTATATTGCCATATATAGCCATTTGGTTATAAATGAATTACTGAAAAAGGATGAGGAAACTTGAAGCTGTAGTTTGTTTCGTCTTTCCAGAATTTCAAGATTAAAATGAAGAAAATCGGTATAGAGTTGCGGATAATCCTGACTTTTTTCTGTAATGTTCAGATACAGCCTAGATACAATACAGTAATGCAGTGGTTCCCAACTGGTGGTCTGCAGACCCCAGGAGGTCTGTGCAACCCACCCAGAGTTTCATGGCATCATTCGCATAACAAAACATAACAAAAACTACCATAGAGATATCGTTTTTTATGGCTTGGCTTTTGAAAAATGGGGTCTGTAGTACGTACCTGATTGGGTACTAATGTATTCCTTGGGCAAAAGTGGCTAAAAATCAAATTGTATGTTTCCCACAAATGTCTGCAATGAAGCCCCAAAGGCCACTCTTTTAAACAAAGAAACAAACAAAAAGTACTCTTGGGTGATTCTTAACCCTTTCCTTGCCAACTTGTTTTTCTGCTTCTGTTTGACCCTTCTCTAAAATTATATCCCTCTGAGCATTCCAGGTACATGTTTACTCTCCTTTTTATTTTCTAAGGAAATAACTTTAAGAGTTCACATTCATTCCTCAACATCATTCAGTTCTTTACTCAAAAAATCTCAATTTCTTCTGCCAACACACTAAATGTTGGTACTTCCTCTTCTTTTCTATCGTTCCTATTCCCCCCCCCCCCATTTTGAGATAATGAGTAATTTCCTCAGAACTATAGCCAATTTCCATTCCCTATTCCCTGTTCAAAGAATATTCTTATATCTTAACCACACACAAATTTCTCTGAGGTATTCCTTATTAATTCCTTTGACAGATTAAGAACTAGAATAACTCAGTTTGGTGGTTATATTTTATTTGTTATTTCATAAAAAGTAGCCCACTCAATTTTGATTAATTAATCAATTAAAGAAATAATAATAATAATAATAATAAACAAAAGTACTGATTTTCAAGTGGTTCATAGTGGGAGGGGGGAGGTTTGGGGAACCACTGGTCCAGGCAACATGTGTGCACCTTTCTTGAGATGTTTTATAACTCTCCCTTACAGAATGCAAAAAAGACTGGGGGAGAGGAGGAGTTTGCCTCAAGTTAAGCAGGCAGGCTTGGGGCAGAGTTTGCTGATATGTTAACAGCATGCTCTTGAGTTCAGATAAATTTGTAGTACACCAACTGTGTTTTCAGTTTTTCTTAGAGTGGCCTTTTTACAAGCCAATTTTCTTCAAAATTTTCTGCACAGAGGACAAGTTGGCAATGGAAAGAAAAAGCCCATTGAGAAGGATGTTCTAGTTCTTAGCATTGTTTGCTTTTAAGAGTTTATCATATATTTGGCATCATTTGCTTTGTTTAAAACAAAAAGCTTCTTGTAAACAAAAGAGAGAAAGAATTATTATATTGTATGTGTTTATCAGTTTTTTGTTCTGTTGTTATGACTTGATTTCCATGATAAGTTACTCTTGAAAATTTGTAATGGGGCTTGGGCCAAGAATGCCACCACCATGCTTTGGCCTCTGTCTCTAGCCTTCCACCATCATTCTGGGGGTGGATATCTCATTCCATCAACATGATTTGCTCTCCATGAGTCATTCAGTAGTTTTGTCACTTCCAAGGTCTATTCAGTCAGAGGATTTTAGTAATAGGATTGCACCCTTATTTCTCTGCCTAGTTTTTATGTGCTCTGTTACATGATTGTAGGCCAAAGTTTCATGGCATGTTTTAAGAAGGAAACTGTAGCATGACTCAAATTTTGCAGTCTAATACAGAGTTCTATTTCTCTTCAGAACTACTTGGAATACATAAACAAGCAACTGTTGGTTTTTTGACACTTATGGAATCTCTAAGATACTGTAAGGTAAGATAGTTCATAGTCATTGGGTGATATGCTGTGTTATTCAGACTTAAGAGTAGACCCATTGAAATAATTGAAGTCAATTTATTTCTGTAGGTATTTGTCTCAGTATGACTTAATTGGATATCGCTCCTTAGGTAAAAGCATGGCTGGTGTTAACTCCAGAAAGAAATTCCTTTGAAAACTTGGTATTTCAACTTCAGCCTTTAACTGTTGAAGAGAAATCACAGATGAAGCATATGTCATCTAAATTTTTCAAATCTCAAGTTTAAAAACTTGTTTTGAATCACCTTTTTTTAGCAACAGCAAAGTCATCTGTCTTGCTAATGAGTAAGAAATGAAGAAACTTAGCTTATTCAGAGTTACAAGTTATGTCTGTCTTTCGCTTCCCTCTCCTGTCACAAGCATCTAAAAGGCACAATCTAGTCCACCTAAGCCAGAATTCTCATATGATCAATGAATGCCTGTTTTTTCACCTCCCCTTGCCTATGAAAAGTTATTTACATAGTTAAGAAATTCATGTATACCAGCTTTCCCTCTTGCCTCAGTATAAATTTTGTTTCAAACCATTAATAATTTGCTCTGAACATACCATTCACTCTTAATGGGCCCTTGTAAGCAGGGGAAGATGGGAAAACGGAGCTATAGGAATCCTGCACATGCAGGAATTATACCCAATATATTTGATACTTTACTGAAGCATCCACACTGATTTGTCCCTCTGAGGATCACTCATGCACTTGTTCAGCTCTGAAACTTTCTTATTTCGTGCATAAAAAATAAATAAATTTAGTTTTTGCACATGTATTTGCGGTACAGCATTCAGTATAATACAGAATTCATCCTGATAATTAAGGACATAAGAGTAGTCTGCTGAATCCAGTCAGTGGCCCATCTATTCCAGCATCCTGTTCTCACAGTGGCCAATTCTGATTTTACTTTTTTAAAAAAGTATTCAGTTTCATATTGGTTGTTATTATTAATAAAGATGGTGGTGTTCATGATGATAGTTATTAGAATGGTAGAGTGAACCTTGCAACATGCAGTTTTGTCTGGTAAAGCAGGATCCAAACACAGTATCTAGGAATCAGAGGTCACAGTGATGAATACTGTACATAGCTAGCTTTCACGAATTTTTGTAACTGTCTCCTCTTTTAGTCCTTTCATACCAAGCTCCTTCATACATATGGGGAAACCTGACCTGGATTTTGGAATAGAAAATAAGCAGCAGCATTATTATTTGTTAAATTCCTATACCACCCCTCATTGGAGGATCACAGGGCAGTTTAAAATAGAAAAAGACATTCAACAGTAACAAACAATAACAATACCCCACACAGAGTTTAAAAGGTCATAGATGGTTTAATTAGCCAAACCATGTCTGTTTTTTATTTTCTCGGGGTGCGAGCTATTCTGTTGCAGGGTACTATTAGCCCAGCATACACTGCAATATTTGAGGACAAAATGTTGTATGGTGTTAGGTTATGAACTTGCTACATATTTTTTCTTTTCATTTTAGGTTGGCTCCTATTTGAAGTCCCCAAAGTTCCCTATTTGGATACTTGGCAGTGAAACTCATCTCACAGTCTTTTTTGCCAAGGTAGGATTCCTTTCTTTTGTTTCATTTCATCACCCTCGGTCAAATACATCTTATTTTAAGTCTACAGTTCAAATATTTTCTACAGTATACTCTTCTTACACAGCACTGACGGTTTAAAATAATTTATTGGCATACATGTTACATGAAAACATACTGGATTTCTGAGATTGTCTTAAGCAAACTACTCAGTCAGTATTATGGTTGAAAACAACTCATCTTCAGGATCTTCTTGAGTTTTTCTGAGTAGTTAGAAATCAAGTCCCAAAGACCCTTCTGCTTGGCTAAAACTATTACCATACATGGCTATTTGTGCAAAGCTATGTATTGAGCATTGCAATCTATGTCTTACCAAGTGTGGAAGTAATACATTTTTCTCTGACTGACCCTGAAACTTCATCAAAACAAGGGATGGGGTGTGCTGCAGCTGCATTCCACTGATCTTTGGTGAATGGAAAGGATGACATTTTCCTCCTGCTTTCTGGACTTAGATGAGTTATTCAGCATGAATTCTGTGTTACAGCTAACTTCTGGATAAGTGTGAAACTGCAGGATCTGTGTGGATTTTTCAAAAATGACTATGTAGGAAAGCATCCAAGAACAGGGGTATTTGGGGAGGTGGAAGCTAGGGAATTCAAGATAATAGTTGGAATATTTATTAATACTAAGAACAAACATAGGCAAACTCCGACCCTCCAGATGTTTGGGACTACAATTCCCATCATCCCTAGCTAACAGGACCAGTGTTCAGGGATGATGGGAATTGTAGTCCCAAACGTCTGGAGGGCCTGAGTTTGCCTATGCCTGACTAAGAAGGATGTGTGTGCGCTTGTCTCAGAGTGCTCCCAAACTTGCAAGAGGACCAGAGAAACTTTAATTATTTTTTTAGCACTGGAGATGTTGCACATTTTTTAGTCAAAGCTGATAATGGGCATGTTGTTTTCAGACAACACTAAATAAGATCTAAGTACATTGTTATTGGGTCATAGTACTTTGTTGCAGTAATCTGTAATATCATGTTAAAATTGGAGGTAAAACAAAGGCAGCACAGAAACATTCTAATGGTTAACGTCAGTGTTTGATGTTAATGATTACATTGCTTGACCCTGTAATTTTAAAGAGACTGTAATATGAAGAAAGATTAGTATATCTTTAGTTATAAAACATGATTTCTCATACTTTTTGAATATTTGTATTTCAGCACTTTAGTGTTCTATACCTACATAACATAAAAAACATTTTTCTGTGATTTTACACTTTGCTGCTAAAATCTTGAAGAAAAGCTGATAGACCCCTCCCCTACCCTAAAGGAAATAATTTGTTCTACCACCTAGAGATATATACAATTACCTTTTAATGGTCTACGTTCAGCCATGAACAGTGACCTTTCGGACTACCATATTTAAAGTCTATGCTGACAATGTTAGTTAGCAAAAAAAAATAGAGTGCTGAAATCAGTTATGCAGAATCCAATTCTCTTTTGTAAGAAATGCAACTTCATAGAAGAGACATAAGGCACTCCCAGAAGAAGAAAAACAACAACACAAATTGGTACATTCTATTTTAACATAATTCAGTGCCTGGAAGCATTTTAACTGAAGAGCAAAAAAACCCAACAAATGCACAGTTCTAAAATGGGTTTTATTTGTGGTGTTTAGGCATATATCCCATAGTTCTTTAATTACATTGCAATGCATTGTATATTAACTAATTACTGAATACCATTTCATATCTATGACTAGCCTGTATTTTTTAGCTTATTTAAATAAGGGTCAATCTATAGAAAGAGAAAAGGCTTGTGATACACTCTCTTTTTTTGAGACTCTCCCACTTGAAAATGGAGGTGGTTCTGTCCTTCTCTGGTCTCTGTAGATTCATTACTGTATATATGGTTAGGATCCAAAGAACTATGTGTTCTTTTCATGTGCACACTGTAGCTCTGCCACCCATCTCAAAAATTAACTTGGTTGGTGTCCAGTATAGCCTCTAATGCAGCACAAGATGCAGCAACTGGTAGCAAATACTTGACAAAGCTGTTCAGATCCCACCGTCCTCCTGAGTGTGAATGAAGCATTGGTCTTTGGACTTTAATTTGGATTTGTGTTGCCTGCTGCGTGCTTTCCAGCTGAGGTTTAAATACCTTAACATACGTCTAATAGTAATGTCGGCACTGATACAATTACATGGATGACAAAGCTTTACTAAAATCAGTTTGTCTTCTGTTAGCTGTTTGATTATTGCACAAACAGTAATGCATGTGACAGCTGCTGCCTGCCCACCTACACTGCATATAACCTTGGATACAGCATTCAGTTTCATTCTTTACAAGTGCAATTAATACCCTTGCAAATCCATTTCATACTCCTCTTTGAAGCTGTGATAAGCTTGTTTTGCATTCTCATAATTGTCTCCTTTGTGTGGAGATGAAGATCTTTGTATAGACACATATGAATGCTTTAGATTTTTCCTTAAGACAGCAGTTCCTGACAAGAAGGATGTGTAAGACCATTCTAAAGACTCCTTAAATCTTACTGCCAAGACACACCAATACATCCAGAATTGCTGAATCTTTCTCTTGTTTTTTAGCACTAGATTAGATCAGTGCTACTTTGGGAGGAGGAAGTCATGAATTTTGGAAGCTCTGTTTACACATCAGGCAAAATACTTTCAAATAAAAATATCTTGATTTTGTTCTGAAACTTGGTGTAAACAGAGTCCAATCCAATGAAATCAATGGACTTAAGTAATATTAATTTCCATGGTCTACTATGGGATTGAGCAACTTGGATATTGCCCAAAATGTTTCCAGCATCTTTTTTCATGCATAAGTCCCAGTTAAGAATGATGACCCTCACACGTCTCACCTTTGCTGAATCAAGGATAATTTAGCAAACCACTAACACTGATATCTTATGACCATGAGCTGAGCCCATAAATAAATGCATGAGTTTTAAATTAATAGTCAAGATGTCTTAAGTCACTAGTGTATTTGGAGAAGTATATATTATACATGTATAACCAATTTGAGCTACTGTGCCTTGAGTGTAGCATAATGTAATTGTTAAATACTGTTACGAGGTAACTTTTATAATGCAAAAGTATGCATTTCCTGACATAATATCTTTACATGTTATTGTTGTTTTAAATTTGTAACCTACTTTAAGCCAACAGAAGAAGAATAAGAACTTAGCAAATTGATAATACAGTGGTGCCCCGCAAGACGAATGCCTCGCAAGATGGAAAACTCGCTAGACGAAAGAGTTTTCCGTTTTGGAGGTGCTTCGCAAAACGAATCTGCTATGGGCTTGCTTCGCAAGACGAAAATGTCTTGCGAGTTCCTGCGGTTTTTTTTTCCTTTTCCCCCTCTTTTTCTAAGCCACTAAGCCGCTTATCTGCTTATCCGATAAGCTGATAAGCCGCTAAAACCCGCTAAAAGGCGCTAATAGCGCTAATCCGCTAATCCGTCAATGGGCTTGCTTCGCAAGACGAAAAAACCGCTAGACGAAGAGACTCCCAGAACGGATTCTTTTCGTCTTGCGAGGCACCACTGTAAAATTAATGCTGTGTTGCTGTGTCCTCCAAAAAATCCAGTAAACAAGAAATAGTAATTCTTACAAAATGAAAACGTGCTATAATTTGCGAAAATATTTGCTTCTTTAAAACTGTGTCAAATGGTTTAGGAGCCCGCCTGTTGGGAATAGCACCTGTTTAAAGCAAAATCAGTGGATGTGATCTTCATGCCTTAAGTTTTATTGGAAGACAAGCTGTAATTTAAATATAATTTTTCAGCCTCGTGATGACTCTGGTATAGCATTAGCATTAGCTGGATTTGGAAAGTCTTACAACTTGTGCAGTATCTTGTACCTCTGTACAGCTCAGTCGGAAGAGCATGAGACTCTTAATTTCAGGGTTGTAGGTATGAGCCCCACACTGGGCAAAAGGGGTTGGACTAGATGACCCTCATGGTTCCTTCCAGCTCTGCAATTCTGTGATTCTATGTTGCTGTCACAATTGTTCTACCATCCCTGCCTAATTCAAATTTAGGATGTAGGTGGAAGACTCTGTGTTGAGGATAGAGTGTGCAGCTGACAGACATTGGTCCTAAATGGTTCTGGATCTTAAGAATTTTAAGCAGTCTGCTAGTCCAGTGGTTTACAACCAGTGTGCTGTGGCCTTGAATGATGGTCAGGGGTGTGGCAGGCAACACAGGCCTCTGTCCCTCCCTCCTCTGATGCCCTCTCATGTCTCTGCCTCCCAAAGGCTTGCACAGCCGTTTGTTGCAGCAGTGCTGGCTATAAGCTCCACAGGCGAATGCTGCCTCTGGAAGACACCTCTCTTTGCGGCGGGGGGGGGGGGGGGGCCGCAGCTGCCTGGAGGACTCTCAAGGAGAGGAGGCTGTTGGGAAAGTGTGAGAGGCTGCTCTGCAGGCTAGGGGTAGCATAACTGGGCTCCTGAGCCCCACAGTGTGCCACAGAAAGAATGTAGTTGGTCAAGGGAGAGGTGGACCCCAAAAGGCTGAAAACCTCTGTGCTAGTCTATGCCCATATTGTTCCTTCTTAGGGTATTTAAACTTAATATGACCTGTCTTTTATCTAGTTTAATGACAGCATCTGTCCACAGCTATGTACTGTTTTTAGAGCAATGGTATTTAGAAAGTTTTTAAAAAAATAGTGATGTATTTTTTTAAATGATGTTTATCAGCTCTGCAGTTATTACAGAGATTGTATGTGCTGTTTTTTATTTTTGAGAACAAAAGCGGCTGAGATTTTTTTACAATGTACTAACGGTGTGTGTTTGCCTCCAAGGGTAAACATGAGATTCTAAAATAAATTTGTGTTATCAGAATAGTATTTAAAAATACAGCAAAATGGTTTTGGGCAGGAATATTACAAAGTCCAAAGGGTAAAACATGAACCTCTTCGCCTTTAGGACATGGTGTACTTGAACAATGCGTGGTAAACTACTGATAGGATTTCCTTCTATGGAAGATTTGGGGTTGGGATGTTGTTAGACAACAGTTTTGCAAGGCCTGGGTGCTTGTGTTTGGCAGAAGTTGTAAATGCTTGGCAGATGAAGTTCATTTTTGGGATATTTTGTTTTTTAAATAAGTGTTGCTGCCCAAAGTGAATGAATTGCTTGCTTTTTACAAAATACAAATGTTGCAAAAATTAAAGCTGTACTTTTTGATTGGGGTGTGGAGCATGTTTGGTGCAGACTAAGCATAGCATAAGAGAGGATTGCAGAAGCAGCCTGTTCCACTTGTATCTGCAGCAAGAGCCTCCATAATAAGACAAGGAAGTGTGGTAGAGCCTTTTTGTTGAGCTCCGCGCTTACCCCATAAATCACTGAGGCTGTTGCTTTTGACAGAGCAAGGATCACTGCCAGGTCTGTTTCTTCCCTACCTAGACCTGCCCCAGTGTTTTCTTGGAGTAGCTACCATCCCCAGACCTTTGCTGCTTCTTTCTCTATCTCAATTATCAGTTTAGGATTGGGAAGAAAGAATTATACTTTCCCCCTTTGCCCATCGTAATGCTTATAATAACCACGGAAATTTGGCAGTGGGACTAGAGGAAAGGAGGGGGACGGGGAAGGAATTGGGAGAAAAGGAGCATCTAACCATTCAACTCATGAGAACTGTTTGATTGAAAAAAATCCAAAGCGCTCAAATTTGAGTGCCCCTAGACCTAAAATTGAAATAGCAGTACTGTTTATGTGTGGGTGGGTGCACTGCTTTGTGAGATATGTAATCATTGCTTTCTTTATTGTTTTGTATAACCCAGGAAGTCCCAGTATGGTGTAGTGGTTAAGAGCTGTAGTCACGTAATCTGGGGAACCGGGTTCGCGTCTCCGCTCCTCCACATGCAGCTGCTGGGTGACCTTGGGCCAGTCATACTTCTCTGAAGTCTCTCAGCCCTGCTCACCTCACAGAGTGTTTGTTGTGGGGGAGGAAGGGAAAGGAGAATGTTAGCCGCTTTGAGACTCCTTAAAGGGAGTGAAAGGCGGGATATCAAATCCAAACTCTTCTTCTTCTTCTTCTTCTTATTATTATGCACTGTTTCTGGTCTGAAAGCATACAGTAGCTCAGTGTCACACCATAGTTTGCACAAATAACAATCTAGATCATGGGTAGGCAAACTAAGGCCCGGGGGCTGGATGCAGCCCAATCGCCTTCTAAATCTGGCCTGTGGACGGTCCGGGAATCAGCGTGTTTTTACATGAGTAGAATGTGTCCTTTTATTTAAAATGCATCTCTGGGTTATTTGTGGGGCCTGCCTGGTGTTTCTACATGAGTAGAATGTGTGCTTTTATTTAAAATGCATCTCTGAGTTATTTGTGGGGCATAGGAATTTGTTAATTAGAGAGAGAGAGAGAGAGAGAGTGAGTCCAGCCCTCCACAAGGTCTGAGGGACAGTGGACCGGCCCCCTGCTGAAAGTTTGCTGACCCCTGATCTAGATGGCAAGCCATGCTTTAGAACGGCTTATCCGCTCAGCACACTAGTCTGTACATGCATTCATCCCTGATGGTAGAGAAACAGCCACAATTATGGTTGGTCAATTGATACTGTGCCAAACCATGTTTCTGCAAAGTTATTTCAAATTATGATTTGTGATTTTTGTTTGTCACTATATTGTAAACAATGGTTTATCAACTTGGACATGATTTAAAACTGTAATAGAGCTTTCTTAACTATTGTTTGCTGTTGCGTCTGAACTGAACCATTTTGGCCTTTCACTTACTGCAACATCTTTTACTACTACTTTGGCTTGGTCCTGCTGTTCACTAGGGTTGAATATTAATTACCAATTTCTGTTAGTAATAAAACAAACAAACATATGCCTCACTTTCCTAGATGTTTCATTTATGAAGATGACATTCTGCATTTCATTGTTTGTGTTTATTGCTTTTCATCATTTTTCCAGTGATGTATTTAATCTTGTGGAATTCTCTCTTAAGGATTTAGCTCTTGTTGCTCCTGAAGCTCCCTCAGAACAAGCCAGACGAGTCTTTCAAACGTATGACCCTGAAGGTAAGATATGTAGTATGATCCTATGTATGCTTACTTGTAACCAAATGCAAATGAGTTCACTCTTAAATGTTAAGGTGCCAAATTAGGATAATCGGATGATTTAAAGTAGGCATAAAATAGAGAAAGTCTTGCTCTTAGTGACCAATAGAAGAGTATGCATTGTGACATGATGATAGAAAAAAAGCACTCTCTGACAAGTTCACAATATGTTTTCAAGTGACAGTAAAAATAATGCTTTAAAAGCATTCAGATACTATCAGTTATCCCTTTTACTCCACAGAGAATATGAATTGCATGAATTTAGTATCAAATAGATAGTTATATTCACGCTTTCTCATTTCTTATGGTGTTTGGCACTGGTATAGCGTGGCTCATTCAATGAAACTTTGCATTGTTTGATATGCTCTCTTGCAGGAATGCAGTTCTCTCATTCTAAAAGTAAATGCATTGCTATGCTTGGTTAAAATTGCAACTGCAAGTTACAGTGCCCTGAAAATCATTAGAGCAGTAGTTATTTCCAAGAAATTGCATGTTCAAAGTCTGCTTTTTCATATCTGTATTTAGAGAAATGCGCATTACTTCCCATTTCAGAATAGGCAGTATTAATCAGCCCATATAAATATTTTTAATTCTTGGACACCTGCTAGTTCATGCTAATGACATTTCCTTATTTTTTCAGATAATGGTTTTATACCAGACAGTCTTCTAGAAGATGTAATGAAGGCTTTGGACCTTGTATCAGATCCTGAATAGTAAGCACAAATTGGCAGCTGTTTTAGAACACTGTTTAGAAAACCTTTGCCAGGATGAAATGCCACCTAAATGGTTGTTGTTTTTTGCTACAGCGTACACAACTAATTCAATATGTATCAGCTGTAAGTCTAAGGAGCAAGGTGCTTACATACAAATTCAAGATTAGTTTTAGAAAGAGAGATTTTCATTCACATGAATGGAGAAATGCTTGGTTATTTCCTTCTCAGCATGAATGTAACATTGTATCAAAGATGAATGTAAAATGTACAGCATTCTTTCCTCAGTCTATTTTAGTGCAGGGATGGGGAACCTGCAGCCCTCTGTGCTGTTGGACTCTCAGTGGCCTCAGCCATAATGGTCAGTTGTTAGTGATGATAGGAGCTGTAGTCTAGCAACATCTAGAGGGCTACAAATCCCGCATCTCTACATGCTTAATTCTGTTCACTGTGGCCTGTCAAATAGATAAAACAAGGGTGGGTCTTCTCAGGACAGTTAGAAAGACGATGTGTGTTAATGCTCAAGACTTATCTTCACTCTCTTCTGCTGCAAAATCCAAGGAATTAAGACAGTGTACTTTTTCTGAAAGCTTTACCTAATAAGGCGTAGTGTGTCAATTGTTGTTGCTACATTGATTTTAAATAAGATTACTTTGGTTTAAAAATAACTCTTTTATTTGGCAACCAGATGCCATTCTTTTGCAATTGCTATTAGGATTCTAAATACAACAGCCTGATTGTTTTTGGCATTTAAAAGTGTTGTAGAACCATAGAGCTTAGTCATGCAAGAACATGAATGCACCACACTGATATTTTTGTGTTGTTCATCTTATCTTAGTGTAAATCTCATGAAAACGAAATTAGATCCAGAAGGACTAGGAATCATATTACTAGGTCCCTTTCTTCAAGAATTTTTCCCTGAGCAGGTAATGTAACCCCTTCTTTCTATTCTTGCATTAGGGCATTTTTAAACAAATGTGGGTCAGTGATGCATTCACCATTCTGTAGTTAATATACATTATGGCTGCATTTGGATGATCGTATCTTGGCTTAATAAGTCAAGCTAGGAATGATCCATATATCCACGCATGCAACCTCTTCATGCAGCTGCTTCAGTCCTCCCTTCATAAGCCAGCAAAGAAACCAGGAACTCTCCCATTAACTATAGTTTCTTGTTTCATTCAAAGTGGAGAAAGGTAGGTCAATGATATTAACCTATGACTTGAAAGTAACTGTCTTGTGTGTTCTCTTAGGAGTCCAAGGTTCAAGAATCATTCACTGTATACCACTACAATGGATTGAAGCAATCTAATTACAATGAAAAGGTATGGCAGCAGTGACTTCTCATATACCTAATTAGGCAGCTGCCTGTTATAGCAGATATCCCATGGACATAAGTTGGGTTCAGCCTATTTCTAAGTGGGCATTCCACAGTGTGATAAAACCACCACTTACCATTTGGCTGGTGACACATGTTCCTAGAAAAAAAAGAACAAATAGAAAACTACGGAAATGCAAATGATTACGGAGGCATTTGGAAATGTCAGTGTTTTGTCACCAGTTCTCTCCGCCAAATAAGAAGCGAATTTAGAATTATGAAATTTTTAATAACTGTGCTTCAGAATGTCAAGAAAAGAGTTGGGGGAGGGTACCAGGCAGTTGTTGCACTAATCACTAAAACAATTTTCCAGCTTTGCTTTATTTAAAACATAAATTATTACGGAACTAGCTTTTATTATATGGAATAATCTGTTTTGTGTCCATCGCTGTAGGGTTTTCTCACCCATTTCAGTTTAGGTGCCTAGAGATATGGTTCCCATCCCATCTTATATTGTAAACTATGTAGTGTTCCCTGTGTAGGCGCACTGAGTGAAAAAACAGGCCCAGGGAGATTTCTGCAGATTTAGGTGGATCCCCGAGATGTGCACAACTGTGTTGGGTTTTTTTAAAAGACTCCCCACCTGCTCGTTCCAAAATTAATGGAGGTGGAGAATTCCACATGCTGCCTCTGCATGTTGGCAGCAGAGCAAGCTCAGTCAGACGAAGGGCTAAGAGTTTAGGTGTCTCTTCCTTCCCTACACCCTGTCCTCAAGGCCCCATGTTCCATCACCCCATAAGAGACTAATAAACTAAAGACCAAGCTGGTTCTAGAGTCCCTCTTATATCCTTTCTTCATGTATGCTTCTGGTTAATAGTGAACGTGTAGTACGGCACAAAAACGTAAGAGTTCTATGAGTGTTTCATTTCATCTTGTTAATAAGGTGCAGAAGATTTAAATTGATTTGAACCTTTGCTCTCGAAGTGATCTTTTAAAAATAGAATGGCTTGGTTTTTGGTCTTTAAAATAACGTGGTATTTCTTTGGAACAGGAGATTAAATAAGATAATTACATTTTCACAGGTCATGTACGTCGAAGGCACAGCAGTGATTATGGGCTTTGAAGACCCAATGCTACAAACTGATGATACTCCAGTCAAGCGCTGTTTGCAGACTAAATGGCCATACATAGAACTACTCTGGACCACAGATCGATCCCCTTCGTTAAATTGATGCTAAGAAAAGACCATGTACTTATAAATATCCAACATTTTGAATGAGGGTTGGGTAGGCAGCTGCCTTTATTTAAAAAAAAACAAGCAAACTATACTTTTGATTGCGTGGCTATACACTGGTGTCACCGAGAAACTGTAAATAAACACTTTTCAGTGTTGATTAGACTATTTAATTTTTTTAACAATTGGATTGATTTGTATTATACCAACTAGTTCCTCTTTGGCCATTGTAGTACAGTTATTGTGAGTTCTCACCCAGAGCCTCCTTGTTCAGCCCAAAAATAACCTGGAAAATGGTCTAGTAGTGCAGTATCTGCATATTAGATGAAATTGGTCTTAAACATCATCATAGTATTCACCCGTTTACACATTTGTTTGGCCATATGTTTTATTTGGATCATTCTGCCTTAGGGCACAACCCATCAGGAAATTCCCATACATGTACCCCACTAAAAAGGATGGATGAGAGCTGTGCAAGAGCATGGTAGCTTTTACCCAGTTCTCAGGGCTTATTCAAGGCAGCTGTTGGGTGGGTTTTGGCATACACTGCAGTATCACAACTTTGGGACTAGATTGGCATTTGCACTGAATATGTTTAGATGAGTTAAATTTCTGCTGCTCTCTTCTAGAAATCTTAAGACTCATCTACATGGCTTTGCACAAACAGCAAAAAAAATGATGTGGGGTATTTTTTGTTTTTAAAATGGCTAATTATAAATGATTAATGCTATTTATTGGCAGTTGTATTGTTCCCAGAATTTACATATTTGGCACACTGAAAGTCAAAGCAAGATTTAAGAAGAATAGAATAATAATAATATTTGATATTGTATAAAGGAAATATAATAAGCCTTAACAGCAGAGAGAATTTGTGCTGCGATTTTTGAAGCTGTTCATGTTATTATTGCCAAATACCTCTTCTCAACATGTCCTAACAAAAAACATAAGCCAGCACTATTGTATGTGTTACATGCATGAAAACATCTGTTATTCAAGTAGTATAGTCCATTATTTATTCTCTAGCAGGGCTTAATAAAAATCTACCCAAATAGTGAACTAGTGATTTTTGCCTCCTTACCTATCAAATTTGGTCATTTTTATTTGTTATTTTTTAATGTCATAGAGTAACTCTATGGCTATTGAGTAATGGTATATTATACTTTAGTCAAGGCTACCCTGTTTTTCAGAATGTTAAGGAAAGGTGTTGTGTGGCCTTCAGAGTGATACATCGTGCCCATTGATGTTCTCATCTCCTTCCACTTCCACCTGAAGTTCCTGTGTTTCAAGGCTTCTCTGTTCACTTCAGTGGTAGAGGCAGCATCACATGCATGGAGCTCTTCACAGAAATTCCTTGGCCCAAATGCCATTGATGTCGCACAGAATTTTTATTTTGAAACGCACACACTTCAGGCATATTCTAATGAATTTGGGAGTAAAGAATCTTGTTTTTCCTTTCAATAAATGGGCTACTTTGCCCTAGCAAAAATATTCAGACATCCATCACTATAATGCAACCTGATTCACTATTCTTATCCTCTCCTCAGTCCTTGCTTTAGTCCACCAGAAGAGGCAGAAATGTGCATCTTCTCAAATACAAAACGTTCTTGCCAATCTATGCAGCTATTCTGTAGAAATAAGTGCTATTAAAAGGAGCCTGTACTACTGATAAACACTTTTCCAAATAGTATTTTTTCAAAAGGCCAGAACTGTTTGAAAAGGTGAGATGGTAACTTGCAGATTTTTTAAAAAAAAATCAATGTTGCTGTACTCTGGCAAATACAAAATAACTACAGTGGTGCCCCGCAAGACGAATGCCTCGCAAGACGGAAAACCTGCTAGACGAAAGGGTTTTCCGTTTTGGAGGTGCTTCGCAAAACGAATTTCCTATGGGCTTGCTTCGCAAGACGAAAATGTCTTGCGAGTTCCTGCGGGTTTTTTTTCCTCCCCCCTTCTCCCCAAGCCACTAAGCCGCTTATCAGCTGATCCGCTAAGCCGCTTAACAGCTGATCGCTAAGCCGCTTAACAGCTGATCCGTTAAGCCACTAAGCCGCTTATCAGCTGATCCACTAAGCCCGCTAAGCCACTAATAGCGCTAATCCGCTAATCCGCTAATGGGCTTGCTTCGCAAGACGAAAAAACCGCAAGACGAAGAGACTCGCGGAACGGATTCTTTTCGTCTTGCGAGGCACCACTGTATTAGAAGCATGTGTTACGCTGCTCTTGGCTTGCAGTTATTTTCTCCAAAAAGAGATGGCTAGAAATGCTTGGACTGCAGGAGAAAAGGCATATTACTGAAGGTTACAAATGCACACAAATGTACTATTATGCAGGAGTCATATGTCTAGGAAGGTCTAGCATGTGCTTTAGTAGCAGTAAAATGCTGTTGAAACCAAGTTGTTCCAGTTCGTTATTAAAAGTTTGTAACCCGCACCCCAGTCTCATGATCATGTAACTGACACTAGTCTGTGACTGTGTTTTATAATATCCAAAGTACATCATTTTCCTTGCAGAAATTTGTCTTGGGTACTTATCAGTACCATTAACCTAATTGTGCTGTTTTGTATTATGTTTGACAATGTCTGCAATTTGCTGCCAAATATCTAACAAAACTCAACCCCCTGTTTTAACACTGTGTTATTTGCATTCCTCAGTAGCACCCGTGGAAAGATGAAGCAGCAGGCCCAGAACTGATATGTAGAGTTTCATTGTCAAATCCCAGCAAAGAATGTGTTTCTGGAGAGAGAGAATCAAGTGCTATTGAACTCTGTTTTCCCCGATAAAGCTGGGTTGACTGAAGAGGGATCAGACACTTGAAGCATCCTTAGCCAATGAAGCAGAGGGATATTGAAGAGCACAAATGCTATCTTGTTTGTGTTTTAAGATGGCCCCATATTTTTCATGTTGACTTTGAGGGGAAGATGGCGAGAGAGCCCTGGGATTTGGTTTGGATTTGTTTGTTCTTCTGGGTGGGCAAGGGCCCTGTAAAATAAACTCAGGCCCTCTGTGGGAAAAGTGTGTTTGGCTTGATCAGAGTTTCCTTTGGAAACACCCCCCCCCCCCTTCAGAGACCCTGCCCTTGTTCTGGGAGATAACGATTTTTGTTAGGGTAATTATATTGGGCAGGGGGTGACATTGTTTCTTTCCCTGCTTTATTTCAATGCACTCACTACTCTGGAGCAGCAGAGGTTCAAGGTCAACTGTCTCTCCATATTTCACAGTTACTGGCTTGCTTTTCCTCAAGAGATAGACTAAAGGAGAGAGGTAACAACTTCCTTCTGTTACAGGATACTGCTGCTGCTTTTGTTCTTACTCTCATTTTTTTAATGCTCCCCTCCAGAACCAGAAATAATTGCAAAACTTACTGATGTGTCAGAATGACTGTCTCTCTCAAACAGGGAACCAAAGGTCCATACCCTTCCTCTGCTGGCTGTAGGGTAGTTACTTATGCACTACAAAAATAACATAGGTTTGCATAATACTTTGCATATGCTAATTTGTGTCTATTGCTGCCGATTTAGGGATAATTGCTATAGTTGGAAAAGAAAGGCGATAGAGGCAGTGACCATTTTGCACAGGGGTTCCGTTCCTGGCCCCCGTGTGCATCTGCAGAACCCACATTAGCTTGCTCCGCCCCCATTCTGCCCTCTTCCAAGTCAAAAAGGACCTGCCCATCTGTGGTTACACATCAGTTGGACGGATGGAAAATGGTTGCCGCCTCTACGTCTCTCCTTGGTTGGGGAAACGGTGACCCCCTATGGCCCATTGTGGCCCTTGGTGTGAAAAATCCTCCCCACCCCTGTCTTACAATTCACTATTAGCTACAACTCTGTCAAACCATATTCACCTATTTGAAGTACCAGAAATAAAGATTTAATAAGGTTTAACATTTGCCATAAGTTTCTCAACTAAAATTTTCTTTAATCTGAAATTATCAGATTATTTTATCCTGCTTTTTAAAATTTCAGCCGATTTTATTCCTTTTTAAGAAAACAACCAGATGTTGGGAAATAAATTAATTGTAATACAGATGATGTGATTGTTTTGTCATAGTTATGCTGAAAGAGGGCCAATTGTTTCCCTTCCCCCTCTTGAGTTTGAGAGGCCTCCGTGGCTCCATTCCCACCGCTATGGGAAGTTGATGTGTTCATTTCACCCTTAAAAATCTGCACAACAGCTCTGGTTACATCTCACTTAACACTGCAGCTGATAGGAGCGTCTCAAAAGTCAAATAGCATGAGGCAGGGCAAGCTGGTGATGACAGCTTAAGGCGCTGCACTTAACCTTGGAAATAAATTTTGCTCTTTGCTTGCAGTCGTTGGATGTGGCCAAGTAATTCTGCCTGCCACTCTCATATGCATTCACACCACTGAGATATATATATATATATATATATATATATATATATATATATATATGCACCCTACACTGTCTCTGACTTTGTTTTAAATGCCTTCGTTCAGAATGTTCTCAACTGACTCCTCCATCTCTCTCCTTCCACAGCTTTTTGTTTGTCCTGCCAAAAGCTACAAGATAAGCTGGTTTTAGAGTAGTACCCAGATGTGTGTGAGGAAGAGCGGTTTTCTCATGCCAGAAAAAAAACACCAGACAATTTGGCTCCATCACTGTGTATCTCTCTCCCCCTTCCCTTTGTTTTAGTGAAAACTACAATACAGGCAAGTCCTGCCTATATTAACAACACCGATAAACAGAACTCAGGAAAGGTCGGGGGGGGTTTGAGAGAGAAAGTTGTCAATAGTTTGCCTTAACCAGGGATAGGGAAGCAGTCGTCATCCAGATGTTTTCAGACGACAACTTCCATCATCCCAGACCATTGGCCATGCTGGCTGGGTCTGATGGGGGTTGGAGTCTGGCAACATCTGGCTGCACGGGCGTATCAATAAAACCAATACAAATCTGAGGTTCTGCCCCCCCCCCCCAGTCTGCTTCCTTAAGAAAAATCCTGAAAGGTCACTGGTTCCCCTCCTAACTTACCGTAAACCCTGAAAGCTGAGAAAAATGGCCACAGATAAGCATTTTCTGAGGATTTTTGCCATTTCTCATTCTTCAAAAGACTACCCAGCTTCACTTTTGGGGGAAAGTCAGAAGCACAGCCTTCTTAGTTTGTGGAAAAGCAAGAAGTCCTGGAAGAGGGGGTGGGAGGAATCATGGTGGGGTGAAGAAAAAGCAGCAATGGCAGCTTGGGGCATTTTTGAGAGTACAGTGGTGCCCCGCAAGACGAATGCCTCGCAAGACGGAAAACTCGCTAGACGAAAGAGTTTTCCGTTTTGGAGGTGCCTCGCAAAACGAATCTGCAATGGGCTTGCTTCGCAAGACGAAAATGTCTTGCGAGTTCCTGGGTTTTTTTTTTCCTTTCCCCCCTCTTTTTCTAAGTCGCTAATCCGCTTATCTGCTTATCTGATAAGCTGATAAGCTGCTAAAAGCCGCTAAAAGCCGCTAAAAGCCACTAATAGCGCTAATAGCGCTAATCCACTAATCCCGTCAATGGGCTTGCTTCGCAAGACGAAAAAACCGCTAGACGAAGAGACTCCCAGAACGGATTCTTTTCGTCTTGCGAGGCACCACTGTATTATGGCATAAGGCAGGGGTCAGCAAGGTTTATCTTGCCTGGGCCAGATCGGTCCCATGGAGATCCCTCCGTGGGCTGGATCATGTGTGCATGCTTATGATTTCCGGCATCTGCGCATGCACAGACGCGATCTCCGGTGCCACGGAAGTGAGTCCCTGCGCTGTGCCAGTTTAGCGCCGCACATGAGCAGGCAGCTGGGTTTGGGGGCGGCTTGTGGGCCGGTCAAACGACCTCCACTGGTCCGCTTCCAGCCCATGGGCCTTAGGTTGCTGACCCCTGGCATAAGGTTTTGTGGAGCATAGTCCACTTAGTCAGATGGATGAAGAACTGCCTCAGTAGCCAATGTGGTTGGACCCAGGACCTGGGAGACCAGGCTTCAAATCCCCACTCCCCCATGAAGTTCACTGGGTGACCTTAGGCCAGTCTAACCTACTTCACAGGGTGGTTGTTTGGGAAGTACACGAGGAGGGCGAGAACCAAGGAGGCCACCTCCAGCTCCTTGGAGAAAAATGCAGAGGCTGTAAGTGCAATAACTGTATCTGAGGGTAGACGGGAAGAAGAAACTGAGCGCGGAGGAGTCAAGTGGCCCTGAAACGGCACCAGTCCGTGACGACCCTCCGCGAAGTCGCAAGAGTGCCAAGTGAAGACAACCAGGACCCTTCGCAAGAGCAGCGGGCAGACGCCAGACCTTGTGAGCGTCGTAAAGTAACCTCAGCCGCTTGCTTCTGTGGGAAGCGAGCTTTCTCCTCGCCAGAGAAGCTGCAGCCTGGACGCTCTTCTGGAAGGGCCATCAGCGATTAACTGAAAACAGCTTGCAGATACTTCATTGGCTTAGGATTTTATTTAAGTGATGAATTAATATGTTTAATTTCATAATGCGAAGATCTAAGGATGTTAATGTTTAAGTTAAAAATTTTTTAAGAACTGTGATTTGGAAAACCGTTAAAAGGACATGCAATGAAATTCAACCAAGGGGAAGCGAGGAAGTCAATTAACAATGTTAATAAGTGTAATTTTTGATAAGGATATGATTTATATTTGTTTGTTTTATGTGTTTGTTTGTTTGTTTATAATGTGAAAACCAGTAAAAAAAATTGGGGGGGAAATGGAAGGGCCATCAGCGGGGCGGCGGCGTCCGCGTTTGGCGGGCTCGGCCCTCCCGCCTCCCCTCCCCGTCGCGGCCCGGCCGAGGCCACCAGGGGGCGCCCAGTCAGGCACTCCTCGCGCGCTGCCCCGACGGCCGGCGGCGGCGGCGGCGGCGGCAGCGGCGGGCTTTGCGCCTCCTCGCCATGCCACCTCCTGGCAGGCTGGCGGGCGGCGCGCGCAGAGCGAGGCGCGGGGGCGGCAGCGGCGGCGGCCAGAGGTAGCCCGGCCAGGCTCCCAGCGGCGCCTTTCAAGCTCCTCGCTGCCGCCGCCGCCGCCGCCGCTTGGGACTCCTGAGGAGAGCGAGCGAGCGAGCGAGCGAGGGAGGAGCGGCTGCCGGGAGGATGTGGAGGCGGCGGCGGAGGCTGCTGCTGGTGCCGCTGCTGCCGCTGCTGGGGTCGTCGTCGGCGCCTTGGTGCGGGCGCTGCGCTGCGGGCGGCGGCGCGCTGCTCTCGCTGCTGCTGCTCCTGGCGCCGCTGGCCGGGACGCTGCGCGCCTTCAACCTGGACCAGGAGAAGCTCGCCGTCTACGGCGGCCCCGACGGCAGCTACTTCGGCTACGCGCTGGATTTTTACAGCCCGGCGCCCCACGCGTAAGTAGCGCCCGGCACTTTTATATAACTCCTCGCGAGCTGGTGGGAGTTGGTCGGCTGCCCTTGGGATGGACGGAGGACGTTGCCTCGTGCCGGATCAGGCCCACTGGTCCATCGAGCTCGGTGCATTGACGGGCAGAGGCTCTCCGGGGTTTCAGGCATGGACTCTGCCCGGCTCCTACCTGAGCCTGGGATTGAATTCGGGACCTTCTACATGCCAAGCAGATGCTCTGCCCCTGAGCCCGCGACCAAGAGCAATGCGCGCACTCCTTCCGAGCGGGAGCCGTCTAGGCGCGGCTACTCGGAAGCAAGTCCGAAGAAGTACTTACTCCCAAGTCAGCGAAGGGGTTGCAGCTGGCTTTCTCGAAAGTCAGCAGCTCCGCTGAGCCCAGCGAAACATACTTTCCAGTAGGCGTACATATAGGTTTACATAGGCAAGGCTACTCACCTGGGAGTAAGCCCATTGAACTCGATGGGGCTTACTTCTGAGTAGACATGCATGGGACGGTCTACTCATCATACAGCGAGAGATTGCAATGGGCTGGTGAGAAGTTCCACCGGTAGGTCTTCTGCGATCTGGACTAGAGAATCGAGTGGATCCTGTATCCTTCTTAGTCCAGATCGCAGAGTCCGGAATGATTTCAAGGCAGTTACGTTGACCCAAATGCAGCGTCTCTTGCTATTTGATGCATGTGGACAGATCGCGAGGCATCCAGTATTCTTTTCCTCCAAAGCAGCGTCACAATGTGCAGGTCTACCGATCCGTGGGTTGATGTGAAGAACACATTTAAAGCATATCCCACCCCACTCCCTCAAAAGATTCTTGGGAATTGCAGTTGGTCAAGGATGCTGAGAGCTGTAGCTCTGTGAAGGGAAACTAAAGTTTCCAGGATTATTGGGGGGGGGGTTGCTTTAAATGCATGGTGCCCATACTGTACACAGCCATGGTGCTGAAATCAATGCAATTGTAGAAATCTAGATTTAAGTAGGAGTTTCTGTGAGGCTGTGTCAGGGGCACATATAGGCTCAGTGGCACAGCCTGACAGGATCACTGGCAAGTCACTTGAGATGTACCCCCTGGGTTTAAAGGTAAAGGGACCCCTGACCATTAGGTTCAGTTGTGACTGACTCTGGGGTTGTGGTGCTCATCTCGCTTTATTGGCCAAGGGAGCTGGTGTACAGCTTCCAGGTCAGGTGGCCAGCATGACTAAGCCCTTCTGGCGAACCAGAGCAGCACTCGGAAACGCCGTTTACCTTCTCGTTGGAGCGGTACCTATTTATCTACTTGCACTTTGATGTGCTTTCGAACTGCTAGGTTGGCAGGAGCAGGGACAGAGCAACGGGAGCTCACCCCGTCGCGGGGATTTGAACCGCCGACCTTCTGATCGGCAAGTCCTAGGCTCTGTGGTTTAACCCACAGCGCCACCCATTTAGACTGTGTATATTTCATAGAGCATCTGTGAAGCCCATTAAGAACAAGTTGTGTGTGTGCTACAGTGAAATGCTTTCTGCGACTTAAATAGAAGCGCATTTTTCTGCTGATTCAGCCCTACTGAATTTGACAGGATTAAAGCCAATTACTTTGCCTTAACTGGGCAGGAAATCAAACTGTGATTGTCCAATTTAAGGTGCACAGCAGTTTTCTATTGATAGTAGTTCTGTGGACTCTCTGTTTAGACATCAGTGGTGCTGCACTAAAACCTCTCTCTTGTAAGCTGTGGATTGTTGCCAGGTTGAATAGACTGAGCTGATTGCTTTGATGAGACCAGGTGTGGCCATAGGCAGGCTTGCATGCCATCAGTCTACCCTGTATTACTGTACATGTCGTAGCAGAATGCATAGATCAGGCATAGGCAAACTCAGCCCTCCAGATGTTTTGGGATTGCAACTCCCATCATCCTTAGCTAACAGGACCAGTAGTCAGGGATGATGGGAACTGTCGTCTCAAAACATCTGGAGGGCCGAGTTTGCCTATGCCTGGCATAGATTTACTCCACTGAAAAGCATGGTGCTTGAGATGAGTTCTGTTTGCAATGTTTGATCTGTGATGTCCCATTCACACATACATGTGGTGTTTGCAGTAACCTAGTGGTGAATGTACACATATGAATGGCTCCTGGGTCTATCAAATATTTGGAGGGGATGTGGACCAGGGGCAGGAGAGAGTCATCCCGATATTTGAGAAATGAATCCATGGAATGTTGGTGTCACATTGGAGATCTGCAAGCGGATTTGCTGGAGCAGGGAAGATGCTGATGTATGGCTTATTGGCCAGCTTTGGGGCCAACGCCTATACTGAGCAAATGGAGCATAGTGTCTAAGAGCTATGAAAGCCCCTGGTTGGAGTCTTCCACCACCAACTCGCACGGTAGCCTTAGACAAAGCCATTCTTTCTCAGCCATTAGTCCTCCTGTCTCCAAAATTGGGAGATAATAATACTGACTTACCTTAAAGCAGGGATGGGAAACCTGTGGCCCTCTGGGTGTTGCTGAACTACAACTCCCATCATTCCTCACCATTGGCCATGCTGGTTAGGTCTGATGGAAGCTGGAGTCCAACAACATCAGTGGCAGGGTGGGGTCCCTCAAACCTGCCTCCTCTCTGCCTTCAGCATATGATGGTGGTGCTGACAGTAGTGACTGATGCTCCTAATGCACCAGCCTCCAATGGATGGTGGTGATGAGCCAGTTCATAGACTCACAGAATCACAGAATTGTAGAGCTGGAAGGGGGCCACAAGGGTCATCTAGTCCAACCCTTTGTAATGCAGGAGTCATTCACCCAATGTGGAGCTCGAACCCATGACCTTGAGATGAAGGGTCTCATGCTGTACCGAATGAGCCCTTTGGCCTTCTTACTAAGATCAACAGAATTTGCCTGGTGAAGCCAAAAGTCTGTTTATGCAGCAATTTCCCCCAGATGGCTCACAAACAGTTCACAACCCCTAGTTGTTTGTTTGTTCCTAGCTTCTTACGATGAGTAGTACACTGCCTCTAAACATACATAGAGCTTGTTTGTAGCAATGTCATGACCACTGACAGACCTATCCCTTGTGAATCCCTTTCATCTTTGCTTTGAAAGCTGTCTACTCTACTGGACCTCACAATGTAATGTGGCAATGAATTTTCCTTAAGTTGAGAACATAAGAAGAGCCCTGCTGGATCAGGCCAAAGGCCTGTTTAGCCCAACATCCTGTGTCCCACAGAGATAAGCCAAATGCTTCTGCGAAACTCACCAGCAGGGCATGGGGCATGTTAATGATGAGCTTGCTGGAGAAGTTGTCCTGTAACCCTATTTAGATGTTCAAAGAACAAGGCAGAAGGCGCAATGCATGGCGTAGCTTCCCAGGTGGCATGTATGCTGGATTAGCATCCCCTCAAGACCTTCATCCAAGTCATTTATAAAGATGTTGAAAAACAATGAGCCTAGAACAGAACCCTGCAGCACTTTTTTTTTTAATGATGATTAGGAACTGTTTGTGAGCACTCTTTGGATTTGGTTACCAGCTTCTCCACAATAATATCATGGAGGACTTTGTCGAAAGCCTTACTGAAATCAAGACACGCTATGTCCACAGTATTCCCTTATCCACCAAGCTTGTAACTCAAAAAAGAACAAAATGAGATTCATCTGGTATGACTTGTTTTTGAGAAACTCATGCTGGGTCTTAGTAATCACAGCATCCTTTTCTAAGTGCTCACCAACCAGCTGTTTAATTACCTATTCCAAAAAGTGCTTGACCATTATTTATTCTTGTTGAATGCTTATAAGTTGTTGTTTTTTTTAATTAGCTATTGAGCTAGCCTTCAGCAAACAGCCATGTTTCAATGAAACGGCTGACCTTTGCTATTTCATCCTTGTTCATGAACGCCTATGGATGTTTTGCAGAGTAAGTGTCCTAGTTGGAGCTCCTAAGGCCAACACTACCCAGCCAGACATCGTGGAAGGAGGAGCAGTCTACCATTGCCCTTGGCCAGCCGCTGAGTGTAAACAGATCCCATTTGATAATACAAGTAAGTGAACTGGTTCTGTGTCAACATTGGTATGGAAACATGTAGTTGAACCCAAGTTCTGATGAAGCTGTGCCTACTCCCTGTGGCATTCCCTCCAATGGTGGTCATTTGCCTGACCTAACTCTCTGCAGTTTCCCAGGAGGAAACACCTCTCTTGTGTGTGTGTTTGTATGTGCTTTGTGAGGAAGGATTCCATGGGGTTCCCCAAAGAGAGAGCAGTGCTATGACCTCCAGTGCTTCTACTTAGGCCACATTCATACTATACATTTAAAGCACCATGACACTATTTTGAACATGGCTTCCTCCAAAGAATTCTGGGAGCTATAGCTTGTTAAGGGTATTGAAAGTTTCTTCCCCCCTCCCAGAGCTACAATTCCCAGAGCTCCCTGTGAAGGTGGTTGTTCAACCACTCTGGAAATTGTAACTCTGGGGAATAAAGGTCTGCTAACAACTCGCAGCACAGGAGCTATCCCACCCATGAGGCAAGGTAAGGCAACTTGCCTCAGGCAGCAGGATCTACAGGGCCACCAGATCAAGTCTCCAAGAAATGAATAGCCTGCTGCTGCCGTGGTGGCAACAATGGCTGTGGCACAATCCTTGGAGGCCAGATCTGACACTACCTTGGCAGCACCCCCACCCCACGCCACCTCTACAGCAGCCTTCCGGCAAATAGGAGGCACTGCTGGTCTCCTACCACCCTTGTTCCTGATGTAGCTCATTATTCCCGCCCTGTTCCCGATATAGATCTTCACTCACCCCTTTTTTGCCATGGCAGGGGACATGGAGCGTTCTGTGATATGACTCAGGTGCCAACATGTATTGGTCCAGCCCTGCTCAGTGCCCTTGGCAAACTACAGTTCCCAGAATTCTTTGGGGGAAGTCAGAAGCCTTTAAAGTGGCACCATGGTGTTGTGAATGTGGTCTTAGGCTCTCCACCTTCACTAACTTTCCTGGGTGTCCTGAACCTTCCCCCACCCCGGATGTTTTCATGCAATGTGATTTACACTGGAGTCCTTGTTTTTGTTTCGTGTTTCTTTTTTAAGAGAACTGGCCTTGAGTTTTACATAGTGAGCTCCTTGTTCAGTGTTCCCCTCTGAAGCTGAAATCTGTGTGCACTCAGTGCTTAGCACCCAGTCTTTTGCATCTCCATATGCGCGGGGATTTGTGTCTGGTTGGGTGAAGCAAAAAGGTACCCTTGCACTGCATGCTTATTTAATTCTTTTCAGAGGGGAGAACTTTCTTTCAGGATAATGGAGGCTGGGTGGAAACCAGTGTAGGCATCATATGGATGGATTGCATCTACTTCAAACCCCTCCCCCACCCCCTCCGACAGATGGTTCCTATTTAATTAAAGGGAAAACACATTTGAGACAATTCGGGCTGTTTATGTTTGCTGTTGTTTTCCCTTTATGGCCCTTGAAAACCATTTAGTGCTAGTGTCTTCTGAAACATTAAAACTGAAAGGTTTTAATTTAGTCAGATCTGATCTTTAGAAGGGATGGGGGCTATGATTCATGGAACTTAGTTTAACTTTAGTGGTGCTTTCTTGAGAACATGGGTACACCCAGCCCCCTTTCTGCAAACATCTATTTCCAAACTTCCCTGAGAGGGAGGCAAAAGTAGTAAGGTGATACCTTTGGACACACCAGTGTCTTCTGGGGGAGGTCTCCTTCAGACTCATGTAAGGAGGCTGGAAGTGAAACTCAGCTCAACAAGCAAAATTTAGATGGGTACAAACATTGTACAGTATTGTGTAATTCGCCCTATGTCCTGCCTGAGCACATGAAATGGTTGTGGGACAATAGAGAAAGAAAACTTAAGGACACAGTCCTCAGTTACAAAGAAACAATGGTGTTCCCACCCCACAGTAGCTTTAAGAATCCCCGTGTAGCTATACAGTTCCCAGACTTTTAAGTGTGTTGTCAAAGTTTTATTTGACAACCAAACAAGACTCCCCCAATGGGAGGTATGTTTGACCAGGTGACAGGGTGCTTTCCCCTGCAATCATATCTCTCAGCAATTTACTTTGGGATCTATAGCAGGGCAGAAGTTGGATCAGGGTCTACTGGTAGAACTCTGGGTGATCTGTGGTAGATCAGCAGGGATTCCTGGTTCTCAATTGTTTCACATTTGCAACAACAAGGGCTTTCTTCTTCCTCTTTATTGCAGGAACCCACTTAAAGAGAAAAAAGAAAGTCCTTTTTAAGGAAGCTTAAGGAGAGAAAAAAAGAGCAGATTTCTGTGTTAAAGAGTTCTGAACTCAGTTCTGGTACCAAACGGACACTCCTGAGCTGAACTTGTCTTCAGAGGTGCCCTGTTCCTTAATCCTAAACATGCTATGTCAGCTGCTGCCTCCACCTTGGCCACTATTTTGCAGCAGGTTCCCGTTGATGGACCTTGAGACTCTAGTAAAAACAAAGCAGATTGAGAAATAGGTACACTGAGGGAATGTCCATGTTGTACGACCAGAATGTTGAGTTTACTTACATTCTTTGCGTATATGTTTTCCCACGGCAAATGTAGGGAGCCTTTAACCCTTCAGATGTTGTTGAACCACAGCTTCCACCATCCCTGAACTCTAGGTTGAAGAACACTTAACCTTAGATACAGGTTATGGGTGCAACAATGGAATGTCTAGGCACGCTTTTTAAATAATGAGAATACAAAGCTGAAAATGAATGAATTGCAACTAAAATATTATGTGCATTTTTCACATGGTCTAGTCCTTCCCAAGCCCACCCACCTAATATTCTTAAGAGGGTCTCTTCTCCAGTCTTCATAGAGTAGCTGGAAGTGGGGAGGCAGAAAAAGGTCCTCCTTTCCTTCCACTCTATGGTTTTAATCTGAAATCTTGGGCACAGTACTGCGCCCAGAGCTCAGAAACTGCTCACACTAATGAAATTCCCTGTCGCAAAATGCGCCTAGAACAATGGGAGTTTCAAGCACTGCTAACAGCACAAATCTACTGATTGCATTAACATTCGTATAATCTCTGTCTACATTCCTTTGGCTACGACTGTATTGCAACCCCAGAAATACATCCTGGCCCTTTAAGCACATTTGGAGTTACTCATGCAGAACTAAACTAGAGGAAATAGCATTCAGGTCTTGGAATAATGTGATGAACAATATGTACAAAATCTCTAGTTTAAATATCTACGTTAGTGAGTGTATGTGTGAGAGAGTGTCGCTATGCCATGCTGTCCTTAGAATGTTTCATTAGAAGTAAGCCCATTCAATGAGCATACTCTTTCTCCATCAAGTCTCCTTAGAATCATGGCTTTAGTTGACTAGCACACATACTTTCAAGTATCGTAGTGACATCAAAAGTGTAGCGATGGACTCATTTCCCAAATTTGTCTTGCACCTGTATCTTTAAAAAAAAAAAGAGTATGAGAAGTCACCAATCCAGATAATGTAGCACTGGAAAGTACCGTATTTTTCGCTCTATAAGACGCACCAGACCATAAGACGCACCTAGTTTTTGGAGGAGGAAAACATGAAAAAAAAAATTCTGACTCTCAGAAGCCAGAACAACAAGAGGAATCGCTGCGCGGTGAAAGCAGCGATCCCTCTTGCTGTTCTGGCTTCTGGGATAGCTGCGCAGCCTGCATTCGCTCCATAAGATGCACACACATTTCCCCTTATTTTTTAGGAGGGAAAAAGTGAGTCTTATAGAGCAAAAAATACGGTAATTAGAATTCACCTCCTTACAGGTAGCACCTCTTGGCAACTTCTGGGAGTGTGTGTGTGTGTGTGTGTGTGGGAGAGAGAGAGAGAGAGAGAGAGAGAGAGAGAGAGAGAGAGACTATTTCACCAGGCCCTGTTGTGAGTGTGC